TCCATAGTCTGACCGTCCGAGCTCGAGGTGTTGGGACGCTGGGAGTCTTGGGGCCGGAAATAGGGGATGATCTGACGTATGGCGCATTGTCGATGGGCCGAACAGGGAGCGGGTTTATGCAGTGACGCGGAGAGTGTTATGCAAACCACCAGCGTTTGGTCTCTGGTCTCTGGCGCTAGCAGAGGTTTCCAAGGCAAGGCTGGGACCCCAAACGATGGTGGTCGGGATATGCTGTATGTCAGTGGTTCTCTTAGAGTCCTGGGTGCTCAGTGCTGTAGGGGCTTATGCATGTCAAGTTCAGGTGCTCTTGGGTAATTCATCGTCCCATCGGTTGCGCGCGTGAGATGAATGGGACGGTGTGGTTTGTGTCTGCATGGTGGTTGCATTCTCGCGAAGCCGGTTGCGGCCAAGTCAGGTACGGATGCATTAGGTGTGGGATTGAGGTTTAGGTTTCGTTGGCTGGAAGGATCGAGATATCCGCAGCCCGAGGCCAAAGTCGACTACGATGAGATGCAGATGCGGATGCAGATGCAGCACCGGCCGTACACGAACGAGCTTGATCTGCCGCAGCAATCGAGCACTTGCCATTTGCCAATCCCTTCTGCTTGTGTCGGGCTCGCCTAGACCACGATGCAGCGGGCGTTGGCCATGATCGTGGAAGCAGGTCTCGACTGCTAATGTCAAATAAGAGAACAAAGGGGGAGAGACATAGGGTATCGGTATGGACCGGATGACAGGAACAAGACGCCGAAATGGGAATAAGTACGAAGTAGGTATTCGTAGCGTGATGCGGTTCAAGACCCGAGGACTGTTGCAACCGCGCTTCGTAGCGGCTACCTTGTTGGACCAAAGGGCCGAGTCTCTACCCCAGAGTCCCGGCACCGAGGTGGGGGTGAAAACTTGGAAGAGAACAAAGGGACTGGTGAGGAGGCCTTGTCAGTTGTTGCTCACTGGAATGCTGAATTGTCGCTTGTGTTCCATCGGGTTCAAGGTGTTTCTTCCCAAGGAGGAATAAATCTGCCATTTGGCGCGGCCGTGGCCGTGGCTGGATTAGCACGTCACTATCCGTAGACGCTACGCAGAGACCTAGGGTCCCAGGGTGTGCCGAACACGGCGTGCTGCAAACCCACGGAGCAGAGTTCAAGGGTCCATGGCCGTCGACGTTGCTGTGATGTTGGTCACGATCCACGTCAAGATCGAGGTTGGCGGCTTCGTGGCAACTTGCAAGGTGGTTGAGGTGAGACCGTGAGAAGATCGTGGGTAGTCTGGGCGGGCGGACAGACGGGCGGCTTCCACCTCGGGAGGTCAGTTAGACTGAACCTTGAGCTTGTGGAGATGATAAGATGTACTTTGGAGGTACCTCGGGGAGTTCCACCACGATATGAAGGGTCGTGATGGTTGATGAGCGTATCCGTACTGTTCCTTTTGCAGGGAGTCTTGGAGGGCTGTCTGCTGGATAGGCAAATGAATGGCTTGATAGGCTGTTCGGTTGCCTCTCCTTGACTCTTGACTTCTTGGGGGCTCAGAGGTTGAGAGTTGAGACTGACCGCCTGCAGTGAAGAGTTGCCGCCTTTGCCATGCAGAGGCTTAGAACCCACACAATCGGATAGTCGCATCAGATGTTGTCTTGTTGGAGAATGGAGCTGAGGGGAGAAGAGATCCATCTGGCAAAGTGACAGGTCACAGAAGGCGTCCCCGAAATGCGACGAGGCAGGTACCGGGGACGGGTACTTGCCTGGTTCGTGAGTCCACCGCTGGCTCACCTCCCTTCACCACCTGCTGCTCACCTTGGATGTACTTAGTACCTTCTTCTCTATGCTTAGGTAAGGCAGTTTCGGTTCATCTTCGCTGCCACTGGCATTTGGACTGAGATCACAGGCGTGAGACTGAGACTGAGGGACCCCAGCAGTTGCCAGTACGTACCTCGCTCCGTCACCAGCTCAGCCCAGCTTTCAGCGGGTCCTTTGGGCCTGTAATCCCCACTCCAACCCACTGGACGAACTCCCTTTGACACCCAAATTAGCACTCGGCCACTCGCTGAGGGCTGTCGTCACGGTGAGCCAGAGAAGCAGAACGACATGGCTAGGTTGTCCCTGGTTGCCGTCCAGGAACCTTGCCCCCCTTCTCGAAGAACAAGACTCGCAAGTTCGCAACATAAACGCGCAACACACGACACCAAGTGACCACTCACACACCAATGTCCAAAGGGCAACTCGTGCGAGAGATTCTCCTTGGATGTTTCCTTGGAGATTCCTTGAGGGAGGAGTGCAGCAAGGTTTGCTTGGCCTTCCCGTATCCATGTGGTCCATCGGAAAATACCACCAGTCAGGATGCAATGGATTGGCAATGGCACCATCTGATCGACCATCCGTGTGACAAAGCCCGCCGTTCCTGGATGTGCCGTGGTCAAACAGAACTGGGCCGCCTGTTTGAGCGCCTTGAGCAAAGCCTGTCTTGCCCTTTTTCTTTTCCCCGATTCGATCCCTTTCTCGGATAGGTAATGAGGCACGGGGGTGTACAGTGTAGGGACGGAGACACGGAAACCGCAAAAGCTGCCACACCTACTGTGTAATCAAGGCTTTGGCTTCTGATTGAATGTTTGAAAGCTGCAAGCCTTAGGAGGGGATTCGGTGCATGATCTGAGACTCAGACGACGGAGGCAGACCCGAGACGGGATGGCAGCATTGGCACTGTGATCATCAGGATGGGTTGATGAGGGGATGCCCGAAGCCAGACCCAACTGCCGTCCATACGTCCAACGTCATCAAGCCATGCTCATGTACTGGTGTTCTGAAGGGGGCAAGGGAAGAGAGAGAGAGAGAGAGAGAGAGATAGCTGGGTGTGTTATGATCTGAGGCCAGGGAATAAGCCAGCAGGCATCATCAACAACACAGTCAAGACTGGCTGCGGCGTGCGCCGGCCTACCTTTTTGCTGCCCAGGGCGCACACTGCACAGGACTGACGCGAGCGTTTCGTCTACAATGGGCAAAAAGGGAAACAAAATTTGCCAGCCATCGACGCAAGATTCCCAAAGCCGGGATGCCTGTCTTCTTCGTTGCGTCAGCCACCGTCACTAATTGTCTTGTGGATGGGCAACACAACAAGCGACCGGAGTGGTTGGGATGGAAATTTGAGTATCCGTACGAGTAACTGAAACGACTTTTCTTGATTCCGCGTCTAATGTCTGGGCATGTCTGGGTATCACCGCTGCTGGGTAAGGCAACCTGTGCCTGTGTAAGCGTTGGATTTGTTTGGGTTTCTGTTCATCTGACTCTTGCAAAGTATGGATAACATCAACACCAATCCATGCCAAGTGGGAATTGATGGATGAGGTCAAGTCTTTCTGCCCAAGACTCGCATGCTTGGTTTGCCATGACCGAATGATACTAGTCAATAAAGCATGCATCCAGATGCAAGAGAATGGGCACCTATTCAGACTTCGTACCCATCCGTCCACTAGGTATCCGTACTTGAGGTGGTTGTCGAGCGAGTGGCCAGTTTTTGCCGCATTTTGTCACTTTGTTTTGTGCCCGTATTCCCAATTTCTCGCTTCCCTTCTTCTCTTTCCAACTCCATACATTGATCCTCGCCCACATTGCTGCTGGCCCCCCTCCCCTGCCGGGCCTGCCCTCGTTCTTGCAGATGCGCTAAAGAGCCGAGAGGGAAAAGAGGACCATTGCCGGGGGTTTCCTTTTCGTTTTCCCTTGCCAAGTTGCCGTTGTACCCCTGTCTCGGTGCCCTCTTCTCGGCCCTCGTCCACGTCGTCTTCGGTTCTTACCTACGGGTTATCCGCACCGCCTATTTCGTTGTCCACCACTTGCTAGCTACTTTACCATCGTACGGAAAGCAATGCTCCCGGAACGAAGACTCGAGAGGGGGTGTGAAGATTACACAGTAGAAACAAAAGACAGCGAGACAGAGAAAGATACCTAGACCAGAGAGAAAACGCCAAACCAGATGATCCCGCTCAGACAGCGCGCTAGAAGTGAAGGAGTGAAAGAAAACCAAAGTTGCCAAAGAAAAGGTACGCGCGAGGTACATCGGAAGTGTACAGGGGGGAGCCACTGGGGTCACTGGGGGGCCACTGGGGGGGGGGCTTTGGACACAGAGCGCAGCATCGCATCAACACGGACCATTCTGCACTACTGTGCAGCAGCACCTCCACCCCAACCTACCTGTATTCATACTCCCTACGCAGTAATGACATGAGCGAGGAGAGGGTCCCAGTTGTCCCGCCCATGTCTTTCCTCTTCTTCGTAGGTTGTTAGGTACGAACCCACTTGGTGCATCGCCCACCGCCGAAATACCTTCTCAGAGAATCCCAGAATCCCAGAATCCCAGAATCCCAGCTCTGCTATCCGTGGACCGTAGCCCGTCCATCTTCCCGCTCCTCGCGACTCGTTTCCCAAACCCGACTCAGCCTTACTTCGCTTTATGAACCCTGCATAACTTACAGCAACGGCATCTGGATCCTCTCTCTCCAAGTTCGAACCCCCTTTCTGATGTATCCATACACTCATTGCTACTAGGTACGGAGCATGTACTCGGACCTGGCAATCCCAATCCCAAGTCCAATCCCACGCCCGTCCATCACCCACCATCCACCATCCACCACCCACCACCCAACTCACTACATATACCGCCCCGACCTCCCACCTCATCCATGCCTCTCCTCTTGTGCTCTCCTACTCACCTCTCTAACCCGACATTGCGTGATCACGTTTACGACCGAGTACGAGTTACTGCCCTAATCACACACCCGAATACAAGTTGCATACGAATATGAGCAGCACCCCCTACTGCTCAGGACCGAGGACAGGAAGAGTTGGCTTTTACGACGTTTACTACCCACGACCGACACGATCCACCAACAGATAATTTTCTACCCGTTTTGCTATTGTTGCTGTTAAAAAACGGGAACCACTTCGCACACATACATTCCAATAAAAACAATTACCACACCCAAGAGCCAGAGCCGCGGGCACGAGACACAAGACAAGATGGGCAACATGGCGAGACAGGTCCAAAACACCGACTACTCGGACGACGAATACGGAGCCGAGGACGCCTACTTCACCTACCGACCCCTCTCTAATCTTCCCACCCCGCCACCTTCATCCAGGAATTCTTCCGCCCACCAGAGCCCGAAAACGGCCTTGGAAGAAGGCGACATCCTGCAAGAAAAGTTCCTTGGTACGTGCAGACGAATTACGTGATGGGGCGGATGGGGGAAGCTTTGGCAACCCTCACAAACTTACCCCGTGTGCTCCAACCCTCGTTCGTTCGATGCGCATACTCCAAATGCAATATATCATCTGCAATGTAATGCTAACCTCCCCGCGCTTGCAGGCCCCGCCATCCACCTCGTCAACCTCGTTCCCACGTCAGCTTCCCTCTCGACCCCGTCGGTGCCTCTCGTCCAGGTCATGCTCAGCCGGTCCGGGCTCCCGCTCGAGACCATCGCCTTGGCAGTCTGCATCCTCGACTCTCTCAACTCCAAGTTCGCCCTGAGCTGGCGCCTGCAGTGCCCCCTGCTCGTCGATGGCTCCTCCTACAACAAACGCCACACCCTCGGCCACAGCCCTCTCCTCGACCGTCGGCGCCAGCAGCAGCTGCACATCGACTCGGTCCAGCCCGAGCTCATCATCCTGTCTGCCCTCATCATCGCCGCTAAGTTCACCGACGACTGCCACGATTCGACATCATACTATTCGTCAAACTGGGGCAAGGATACTTGGTCGTGCGAGCAGATCAACGTGACGGAACGTTGCATCTGCGAGAACCTCAACTACCGCATCAAGCCCCTAGTCGACGATGAGGATCTCCTCGCCGATACCATGGTTGATATGCAGTTGGCCGCACGGCACTACAACTCGGCCCGCCCCGTCCAACCCCACGAGATGGGTCACAGCAAGAGCAAGAGCATGACAATCGGTACCGGTACCGCCGTGATTGGCCTGGGTCTGCAGCTGACACCCGTTGACACACCCAAATCTGAAGCCGAGTCATTTGGTGATGATGTGCGTGCGGCACTCGAGAAGACGACCTTTAGCGGGGACTACATGTCCTTGACCTTTTCGGGCAACGACATGGGTCTGTCTCCAGTCGGCGAGGAGTTTTAAGGAACGAAGTTGGAACATAAAAGGCACGACGGGACAATCAGCGAGCGAGCGTTTTTGTTTGACTGTCATGATGGTTGACTTGCATGCCCTGCGGGACACCGAGTTCATCTCGGTTGAACAGCACATCTGCATGAGCCCCTTCGGCTTGTTGTATACTGAGGGGGCGACATCATTTTTTCCAAAGCTTGAACGTTTTTTCTAAGGATACCAAAACCTCGGCCTCGAAGAGGTCTCGACGGGTTACGCATCTTGTAATTTTTCTTGGGCGATCAATTGAGCTGGCGTATATGGTGGACAGGGGATTTATCGGATGGGGGTTTGGGATCAAGGTCGCGATACTGGAAATCATGGTTCATCTTTTTTATCATACCCTATTTGATAATGTAGTCCTGGAAAGACAACATTCATTTTCTCACTCAAACATGTCGTTTTCTACACATTGGTTTCGTTTGATGAGTTGCTTGTGATAATACGTCGTGACTCTGAACAATGACAACATAACCATGTCTTATACCTAGTGACTACACCATCACCGCCTACGGGCTCAACCTATTAATCGTCCACGTATCCTCCTCGCCCTCCACCTTGTCATACACAAACCGATCATGAAGCCGACTATCCCTCCCCTGCCAAAATTCAACCCTCTCCGGCACAACCCTCAACCCGCCCCAAAACTCAGGCACCGGAATCGTGTCCTGGCCCTCAAACTTTTCCTCCACCTCCTTCACCCACCCCTCCAACTGCGCCCTCCCATCATCCTGCCCCTCCCCGCCCTCGCCCTTCATGCCCTCCCGCGGCTCCAACACCTGACTCTGCCGCGAAGCCCACGCCCCGATCCGGCTCCCGCGCACGCGGGTGTCGTAGTACACCTGACTCTCCTCCCTACTCAACCTCTCCGCCGTGCCTTCAACCCTCACCTGCCTCTGCAGCGCCTCCCACCAGAACGTCAGGCTCGCGTGGGGGTTTGTCTCGAGGTCGGCCGCTTTGCGGGACGTGCCGAGGTTGGTGTAGACTACGAAGCCGCCCTTGCTGTCGAGCTCCTTGAGGTAGACCATGCGGGCGGAGACGCGGCCGGAGGGGAGGTGTGCCGTGGAGAGGGTGCATGTTTCGGGGTGCGGGACGGCGTGGGTTTCTTGGGCTGCTGTGAACCAGGTGTTGAATTGGTGGGTTGGCGAGGTGGGGTGGAGGGCGGGGAGGGAGAGGCGGCCTAGGGTGAATTGGGAGGCGCGGGTGTTTTGGGAGGAGCCCGAGGGTGCGACTTGGGGATGTTAGTTTTTTTTTTCCCCTTTGGTGTTTTTGGCGAGGGGGAGGTGAGGTGAGGTGAGGTGGGATGAGATAGGAGAAGCAGGATGAAGGTGAGAGGAGAGGAAGCTCTGTTCTTTCTCGACCTTCCATCGTCATCATCTACAATCCCGGTGATCCGGGTCTACTTCTCCTCCCCTCATCATGCCTCTTCGCCCGGGACGCCGTGAGTGAGAGAAAACTTACAAATGAGCTTCTCGCTCTCGGGAGGCGGATGCAGAGCCATCTTGAGCGATCTCGAGAATCTATATGCGAGGCCGGGCCGCATATGCAAGCAGTCTTAGCAACCTCAACTTGCCGAGAGTCCTTGTTCACCGAGCTTTCCTTACTACACACAACATTCTCATCAGCTGATGGAGGGGTAGAAGGGGGGCGTACTTGTGAGTAGGGAAGAAGCGACTCACAAGCAAGATGCTATGTGCACGTACGTTTCAGATCAATGCAGCTTGGGATTTGTTGTGCTACTCGATATCGTGAGGGAGTGTGGTGTGGTGTTGGATGTATGTAGATCCGTGAGTAAGAGTGAGGTGATGTACGCGTTTAAAAATAAAAAAAGTGTACGCATGTCATGACTTGACTTTCCCTCTCATGATGCTTGCATTTGAGTGAGGGGCACCCAGCTGCAGCAAAATGCCCCACATTCCCCGAGCACGTTCGTTCGTGCTGAGGTGGGTGGACAACCGCAGAATGTTCCACTCGTTCTTCTTCACACCACGGGTAGACATCGGATTGTATGTAGGCGCAGCCGCGCAGCGCGCAGAACACCCGACAACGGGTCCCGTTTCCGTGGAGCTGATGAGGTGCGCAGCAGGGATCAGCCCAGCAGTCCTCCGATCGGACCACTTGATGACTACACATTTAGAGACACAACACACAACACACACGAGACACGGAACACACATACACGCAAGACACACACATAACGCAACAGACCAAACAAACGTATTTCATTCCATACATACGACGGGAAAGGGGGTATCATATCGTAAGAAAACGCCATCCAAATACGCAAGATACGTAAGACACGCAACGTACGCAACAAACGTAACGCAACGCACTATACGCACTATACGCACTGCCCAAAACACCTCTAAACCCAAATAAAACATGTAATCCCTCTTACACCACGACGTCGTAATGGCGCGAGCCAAGCAACGGACGTCTGACGGCGCGCTTTCTTATACGCCAGTTTTGAGGAATAGTTGCTTCCTACTTTCTGTGTCTATACTATCATCCCGAAAAAAGAAAAGCCCGAAACCCAAAACACCAAACAGTTCTCAAAACTTTTTTGCACGTATGCTTTTTTTCTCATGTCCAGGTTCCCCGTACAATTAGGAAAGAAAGCCAAAAGAAATCTCATCTCTATGGTGCCATAACCAACGCAAGCAAAGCCATGCGGCAGTACAGACCATATCTCATCTGTGCAACTTGTCAGCATTCATGCTCAAATCTAAAGGGTCAAGGGACTTACCTGTCTGAAGTACGCCGCACGCTGGTCAGTGTCAACCTCGGGCGCAATCTCCTCGTTTCTCGGGAGAGGGTGCAGGATGCACATGTCTCTCTTGGCCGACTTGAGGGTGCGGTTGTCGATGCGGTACGAGTTCTTGACCTTCTCGTAGTCCTCCACCGTCGGGAATCTCTCCTTCTGGACGCGAGTGCAGTAGAGCACGTCACTCTTGGCCAGGATCTCGGGAGTAAGGTCCTCAGACTCGCAAAGGAGCTGGCCAGACTCGACCAAGAAGTTGCGCACATCGTTAGGCAGAGCAAGTCCCTTGGGAGAGACAAGCTGAACCTGGACGCCGTAGTCGCGAAGGAGGTAGATCAGGGAGTGAACGGGGCGGCCGTAGAGCAGGTCACCAACAAAGGTGATGGTAAGACCTTGGACGGTTCCAAGCTCCTCACGAATGGTGAAGAGATCAAGGAAGGCCTGAGTGGGGTGCTCCTTGCTGCCGTTACCACCATTGATGACGGGAACAGGTGAGTATCTCTTAGCAATCTCGACGCTGTGCTCGTCAGGGTGGCGGAGAACGACGGCGTCACCGTAGCAGCCAAGGGTGCGCAGAGTGTCTTGCAGAGACTCGCCCTTCTGAACCGAAGATTGCGAGGTGGCAATGGCGACGGTGCGGCCACCAAGTCTCTGCATCGCGGCATCGAAGGAGGCAGAAGTGCGGGTCGAAGGCTCGTAGAACAAGGTGCAGAGGACGCGGCCCCGCAGAACGTTCAAGACACCCTCGCGCTGGACGCCCAGACGCATCTGCTGGGCAACAGTGAACAGGTGGTGAAGATCAGCACGGGTGTACTGGCTGACAGACAGACAGCTGTGGCTCTTCCAGGACGATGGCTGCGACAGGAGATCCTGGAGCTTGGAGCCAACGGCCGGGTGAAGAGGGGCGGGAAGACCAAAGTCCTCGAATCCACTGTTGCTCTTGTTAGGGAGGTAGCCGTCGGTGGGCCGGAGCTTCGTGGGCCTGGAAGTGTTGAACAGCGACGGGCGACGATCACGAGGGCTGTCGGGGTTGGTCAAAGACTGCAGCTGAGGCTTGATCACGGGAGACATGGGCAGAGCGCCGTGAGTGGACATGTCCTTGCCAAGAGCAGGCAGAGCCAGCAGCTCACCATCCAGGCAGACGGTCTGGTCCTGGAAGGTCACACGCTGAACGGAACCGCGCATGGTGCGGCCAGCGAAAGGAGACCAGCCGTTGGTGTTGTGCACAGCGTAAGGACGGTCAATCTCGACCTCGACGCTGGTTCCAACCTGCTCGTGGAGCTCAAAGATCTCCTTGGGGTTGTCGTAGAGACGAGCCTTGACATCGTCGACGGTCAGCTTGCCCTCGGTAACGGAGGTGAGGAGCAGAGGCAGAGCGTCGGCAATGCCAACAGAGGGATCGGCGGCCTTGCCCAGAGAGCTAGCAAGCTGGTAAGGCAAGCTGCCGATGGAGAAGACGTCGATCGTGCTCAGGTGAGCCCAGAGAGCGTTCTGGTCAGCCTTGGTGGGGAGCAGAGCACAGTCGGGGAAGTCATCCTGTGAGAGGTACAGGGAGAAAATGGACACGTCGCATGTGACCTTCAAGCCCTTGGCCTTGCTAAGAGCAATGAGCTTGATGTCGTCCTTGGTGGAGACCGAGGTAACGTGGATTCTCCGGTTGTGCAGGCTGGCCAGGAGCAGGATGGAAGCCAGGTCGGTGAGCTTGGCATCAGTGACGATGGGCTTGTGCGCGGGCCACTTGTCGAAGTGGGCAGTGACGGCAGCGACCTTGCTAATGTTTCCAGACAGGTGGTTGAAGGGGATGAAGAGCGATCCGACCTCACCGGTGACGTGGCTGATACGGTCAGAATTGTCAGAGGTGGCAGTGACGGAGAAGTTGAAATCGCAGAATCCACCCTGCTTGCTGCTCTGCTGGGCGACCTTGAGGGTGACGGCATCAGTGATTGAGCCATCGACACCGACAGGCATGAAGCGGACCATGCTGAAACCGGCCGAGATCGAGGCCTTAGTGACAGCCTTGAGATCCCTGCTGCCGGTAGTGGCAATACCAGGAACGAAGGCGGCAACGTTGATCAAGCCAGGCAGAGAAATGGTGCGGTGGCTGGTCTGGAAGTCACGGCTGCCAATCTCGAGGCCAAAGTGGCGGGCAATAGCCTCGACGAGGATCTTGGCGTTCTTGACGTTGGTGACCAGAGGAACCTGGTAGTCGACAGCCATACGTCTGGTCTGGTAACCCTTACTCATGTAGTTGGCAGGACGGCGGTACTTGTTGTTGGAAGGCAAGTTGATGTAGAGATCAATCATGTTCTTGGCCAAGTGCTGAGTAAGAGAGAACTCGGAGCGCTGGTCCTCCTGCTCGTTGGCGAGGACTTCCAGGTACTGAACGGGAATGTTGTGCTCCTGAAGGAAGTCGGCAGTACCGGCAGTAGCGAACAGCTTGTAGCCGAGGCGGGCAAGCTTGTCGATCGCGGGCAGCATCTCCTTCTTGTCCTTGTAGGAACCGATGGACAGTAGGATGTTGGCTTTGGGGATCTTGAATCCGGTGGACATCAGAGCCTTGAGGTATGCCTCATACTTGTCGACACCGAAGCAGGCGACTTCACCAGTGGAAGCCATCTCAACACCCAAGACGGGGTCGGCGCCAGAGAGACGCGAGAAACTGAACTGAGGAACCTTGACACCGACGCAGTTGGGAGCGATATCGGTGGCAGGGTAGGCCTCGAACGGCTTGCCAGTGATGGCCTTGGTGGCCATCTCGATCATGTCGACACCCATGACCTTGGAAACGAAGGGGAACGAGCGAGAAGCACGAACGTTGCACTCAATGACCTTGATATCGTTGTCCTTGGCGATGAACTGAATGTTGAAGGGACCAGTAACGTTCAGAGCAGCACCAATCTTGCGAGTGGCCTCCTCGATTCTGGCAATGGTCTCGGGCTCCAAGTCCTGAGGAGGCAGAATGAGGGTGGCATCACCAGAGTGAACACCAGCGTTCTCGACGTGCTCAGAGATGAAGTGACCAATGACGACACCATCCTTGGCAACGGCATCCATCTCGATCTCCTTGGCGTTCTCAATGTACTTGGTGATAACGACAGGGTGCTCGCGGGAAACCTCAGCAGCCTGGGCCAGGTAGTTCTCGAGATCCTGCTCGGAGTAGACGGTGTTCATGGCAGCACCCGAAAGGACGTAAGAAGGTCGAACCAACACGGGGTAGGAGACGGCGTTGCAGAACTTCTTGGCCTCCTCGAAGCTAGTCAACTCCTTCCAGGTGGGCTGATCAACACCAATGGTGTCCAACATACGAGAGAACTTGTAGCGGTTCTCGGCGTTGTCGATCATCTCAGGAGAGGTACCGAGGATCTTGATGCCGGCACGATGGAGCGGCAGAGCAATGTTGTTGGGGGTTTGTCCACCCATGGCACCGAGAACACCACCAGCGTCTTCCAGCTGGTAGATATCGAGAATAGACTCCAAGCTGATGTTCTCGAAGTAAAGCTTGTCGGCCTCGTCGTAATCGGTACTGACGGTCTCGGGGTTGTAGTTGACCATGATAGTCTTAAAGCCATCCTGGCGAAGAGTGCGAATGGCACGAACAGAGCACCAATCGAATTCGACGGAAGAACCAATACGGTAGACACCAGATCCCAGGACCATGATACCGTGGTCGTCGAAAGAAACATCGCTCTCGCTCGCGTTGTAGGTCAGGTAGAGGTAGTTGGTGTAAGCAGGGAACTCAGCAGCAACGGTATCGATTTGCTTGACAAACGGCATGATGCTGGCCTCCTGTCTCAGGGATCGCACGGCGATCTCGTTGGAGCTCCAAAACTTGGCTAGCTGACGATCGGAGAAACCGAGTCTCTTGGCCTGAAGGAGGATGGCAGGGGACTTGGAGATATCGCTGGTGGTGTAGTTGGTCATGTTCTTGGCGAAGTCGCTCAAGCCCTTGAGTTTGTTGAGGAACCACTTGTCGATCTTGGTAAGCTCCCAGATCTTGTCAACAGTGTAGCCAGAGTGCATGGCGTTGGCAATGGCGAACAGACGCTGGTCAGAAGGAGTCTGCAGCTCGTCATCGATGGACATCAAAGCCTCGGTCTCGTTAAAGCCCAGGTTGTGGAAATCGATGGCGCGAATTGCCTTCTGGATGGCTTCCTCGAAGCTCCTGCCGATGCTCATGACCTCACCAACACTCTTCATGGAGGATCCAAGCTGGGTGGAAACGCGGGTGAACTTCTTCAAGTCCCAGCGGGGCATCTTGACGACGACGTAATCAAGCGAGGGCTCGAAGCAGGCGCAGGTGGACTTGGTGACGCTGTTGGCAATGTCCTTCAGGGGAATGCCGAGACCAAGCTTGGCAGCAATGAAAGCCAAGGGGTAGCCGGTGGCCTTGGAAGCAAGGGCTGAGGATCTCGACAGTCTGGCATTGACTTCGATGATGCAATACTCCCTAGAGAAAGGGTTCAGGGCATACTGAATGTTGCACTCTCCGACAACGCCCAAGTGACGAATGACGTTGACAGCTGTAGTACGGAGCATGTTGTAGTCCTCGTCAGACAAGGTCTGGGAGGGAGCTACAACGATGGAATCACCGGTATGGATACCAAGGGGATCGAAGTTCTCCATGTTACACACAGTGATGCAGTTGTCCTGGGCATCACGAACGACCTCGTACTCGATCTCCTTCCAGCCCTTCATACTGCGCTCGATGAGCACCTGAGGACTGGCGGCAAAAGCCTTGTTGCAGAGATCAAGAAGCTCGGCCTCGTTGTTGGCGAAACCACTGCCGAGACCTCCAAGAGCATAGGCGGCTCTGACAATGACGGGGAAACCAATGTCCTTGACGCAAGACATGGCCTCGTCAATGTTGCTTGCAGAAGCAGATTTGGCGCACTTCTCACCAATGGAGTCCATGCTGCGAGCGAAGAGCTCACGATCCTCGGTGGTGATGATGGTGTCAATGGGGGTACCGAGGACCTTGACACCGAGCTCCTCAAACTCGTCCTTCAGCTGGATACCAACTGATAGAGCAGTCTGTCCACCAAAGGTGACGTAGATGGCATCGGGTCTCTCGTACTGGATGACCTTGCGGACAAACTCTGCGTTGACCGGGAGGAAGTACACCTTGTCGGCAAGACCCTTGGAGGTCTGAATGGTCGCAATGTTGGGGTTGATCAGAACGGTGTAGATACCCTCCTCCTTAAGAGCCTTGATGGCCTGGGAGCCAGAGTAATCGAACTCTCCGGCCTGTCCAATACTGAGACCACCACTGCCCAGAATGAGGACCTTGCGGGGGTGGACACGAGGGTGAAGACGCTCGTTCTCCTCAATGGTGCCACCGGGGAACTTGACCGGGGCACTGAGCGCCTTTGGGTCGGCGGCGCACTCCTCAATGGTGCTGATGAAGACGTCAAAGAGGTACTCGGTGTCACGAGGACCGGGTGTGCTCTCGGGATGGAACTGCACACTGAAGTAAGGCTTAGAAAGATGGGCAATACCCTCGTTGCTGCCGTCGTTGGCGTTGACGAAGAGCTCCCTCCAGTCGGCCGTCAGGGACTTGGAGTCGACGGCGAAACCGTGGTTCTGAGAGGTGATGTGGCACTTTCCGGAGATCATGCTCGTGCAGGGAATGTTGTGACCTCTGTTGCCGAACTTCATCTTCTCGGTCTTGGCACCGGAGGCGCGGGCGAGCAGCTGGTGTCCCAGGCAAATACCGAAGACGGGAGTCTTGGTCTTGTCCATGGCAGCCTGGATGTTCTTGACGGTGTTCTCCAGCATGGCCGGGTCACCGGGACCGTTGGAGAGGAAGAGACCATCGTACTCTTCGCCGGCCTGCTTGACGAGGTCGTGGTCCCAGGGGCACACCAAGACTTCGACACCACGCTTGAGGAAGCACCTCAGCTGGTTGTACTTCATACCGACATCCAAGCACAGGACGCGGATAGGTCGACCGGAGGGGTGCTTCTTGACGGCAACGCTCGAGGGAGGCTTGTAGAGCTTAGGAGCCTTGATTGAAACTAGAATGGAGGATTAGCAAAAGCCGAGTCATAGACTTGTTGGTAGAACTCACCCTCAGCTACGAGGTTCTTCTCGTTGGGGTTCACCCAGTCAACAGTCTGGAAGTCCTCAATAGAGAAGGACGCAACGCCATTGACGTGACCGTTGGCGGTGCCGTTGGTCAGGTTCTTCTTCTGCAACAACAAGCGGCCAAGGGTGCTGCCCTGTGACCTCAGGTACTTTGTGAGTTGTCTGGTGTCGACGCCGTAAATGGCGGGGACGCCCTGCTCCTTGAGCCATGTGCCGAGAGAAGACTCTGCCAAGAAGTGGGAGTAGTCCTCGCCCGAGTATGAGTGGGCGACGAGACCAGCAATGTGGATCTGGGAGGACTCGAAGTGAGCGGGCAAGTCGCCCAGAAGCTCGTCAATGGTCTCCCGCGAAGGGACACCATAGTTGCCGACGAGAGGGAAGGTGATAACCAGAATCTGGCCACGGTACGAGGGGTCTGTCACCGACTCCGGATACCCCACCATTCCGGTCTGGAAAACAAGTTCTCCGGCGATGCTCTTCTGGGCACCGAAGCTGTAACCCTGGTAGACGGTACCATCGGGCAGCTCCAGAGCCATGAGGCCTTCGTCATCGGAGCCAACAATGCGGGCCGCAGCCGGGGGGTGGACGGTGGGCGACATTTTCGGTTGTGGGAGGAGTTTCTTCTGATTGATGCGGGGCAAAAGAAAAATGACGAGTGAAGGAACTCTCGGAGTGAAGAGGGTCTAAAGCAGCAACGATGTGAAAAAAAGAAGTGCTAGAGAAAGTGGCAGTCGCGAGCTCGTCAAAAGAGTCTCGTATGTTGGTTCGGGAGCTTCCCAGCGATCATCTGCCACGATAGATCTTCGGGAAGTTATGCAAGTTTCTAGACAACCATTGTCGGAGAAAGAAAAAAGGAAAAAGAGAGAAGGAGGAAGAGAAGAGCTAAACAGCAGGACCCAAAGACTTTTTACCTTACTCTGACAGTGAGAAAAAAAATTCACCTGGTTACCCCCCCTCCATGCTCAGGGCCTTCCCTCCCTGGGGGAGGAATCTGAGAGTGGATTGACCAATGATACAGGCACAATCCCTGGACGGTGGAGTCCCGGCTACGTTGACACAGATCTGCAACTGAAAAAAATACGGCTTGTGCTTCACCGAAACCGCAGGCGGTCAGTTCAAGGGAGTCTAGCGCCATCTATCAAGTGGGCAGAAAGTGGCAGAAAATGGCGGTAGGTTTGGGTCATTGCCGCTTCTAGCCATAGGGCGGGGGAATTAGCCCCGCGTCACCAGCACCAAAATTCACCAATGCCACCAACAGTCCGCCCTGATAGCTGAGGTTGCAGAATTTTGTCACAGTCTTGTCCCTGCAGAAATTTCTTTCCTTACCTCAAATTCACCTAGCTTGACTGGTCACTGATGGAGAGAGCCGTGAGAGGCGGGAGAAAACTATACTTAAACGGTGGCTGGCCACGAGTGGACCGTCCGCTTGTGAATCACTTCCAAAATTGGCCGAGTCACAATTGGAATGGACCGGGCTACTTGCAATAGTACGTCCCCCAAATAACCTTGTAAATCGGTGCGATCGATGTTGTGATTTACTTCGAGGGCATACCTACCTTAGGGCCACGAGTTTACAAAATTTTGATACCTTGGCTCGTCTGAAGCATCGGTGTTTGCTGGCTTGTAAGCCTACCAAACAACCTGTCATTTGAACATGGTTGTGGGAAATCCGATTTTCACCTGCGCACACCGGCCTAGGTGAGCACACCACTATTTGCTTTCACCTGGCCATCGCCGATGCCGGTGCTGAGTTTTTGGCGGGGCATTCCACTCGAGTTGGGGTAGGCATGGGCAGCTGGGGCAACGACAGTCCCCCAGGCTGAAAAATGCTTCGGATTCATCGAGACCGCGCAATCTCTGATAGTACTTTGATTAGAAAATAATATTTCTTTGAATCACCTCACCTTCACTCCGTGTTTAACGACTCGCCATGAGTACATTAGAGATTTGCAATGGCCGCTCGTAGAGCAGTCTGCAAATGTACAAAGTATCTCGCCTCAACAAGTGAAGAAGCCATCGTAGCTGGCGGAAAGACACATACGGATAGACGGTGGGGTTTGAACCCATGTTCTGCGCTCTTCACGGCGCCAATTTGAGTCCAGCCCCTCATCAGACACCCAGTTTGGAGCATCTTTCGAGTTCCCGGCACTCTACGGAAACTGCGGGTGATAGATAATACGGACTTGCACGTGCCATACTTGTGTTTTATACGGCTCGACTGGCATGAACTGTCTTCGCCCAGTAGTTGAAACAGCCAACAACTCAGTATGGTAAGTTAGCGTGAGTAGCAGGTCAAGTGACAGAAGCTGACATTCCACGGGACGTGAGTGGGAAGCAGCTTAGGTGAGAATCACCCGTCTTGGACGCTTCTAATGAGCCCCACGGATCTCACCCAGCCCATCGTCTCTGACAGGGCCGCTCCCCTGCAAGCAGGAGGGCTCACTAGTCTCGGAAGAGCCTGGAGCACGAATGCTTGGCTAAGCCAGTTGGGACTTGAGAGGTGGAAAGAAACCAAAAATGGGCGTAAGAAAGCAGGCCGGCAAGGTGCACGAGGAGGCTTGACTCGTGAGGCTTGTGTAATGCGAGGGAATTTGCGAAATTTCTTCTTGCCGGGCCTGCAGGTTTGCGCTGCGGTGTGGCCAGTTGGTGGAACGCATAGAGTTCGCGATGCTGGCTTGGGTATGGCGGCTTCTACTCCGTACCCTGTATTATCTGTTCGAGATCTGAATCGACATAAATCGCCGATGGCCGTGTTGGTCTCAATGTAACCCGGCATGACGGGCGTCTGCTGAGATTCCGTGCATTGCTCGGACGAGTTGATGAGAAGCTCACCAACCGACCCATTATCCCCAGAAGATGTTCGGCAGCCATGTGTAAGAGCTAATTGTAAGAAGGCATCGTCGAGTTCAGTCACGCGGACTATGTCATTTGTGTGTGTACCTGTCTTGAATAGCTGTGCCTCTGATCGCTCTCGGGAACCAAAACAGCGCAGACGGGAAGCATTCCCTTCCCGTTCGTTGAAGGCGGGATTTAGACCACAAGGAAAAAAAAAAAACAGAATGGAGGAGTAGCATCGAGCAGAAACGATGATGGTGTGGAAGCAGGCCCCGGCTAGAGCAAAATCCCGGCGGTGTCCCCCCAAATGCAGCGTCGCACCCTGGCCCAGAACAGGTGCCATCTGTGCATCCGTGTGTGTGGGATGCCAATGGCGGTGACGGCCCTCGTAGGCCAATCAAGCGAGGGAATGGCTCGAGGTGTGCTGCTGATCCTGTGGGGGGCTTGAACTCTTGGAGCAGGAGGACGCAACTCAAGCTTCACTGTTGCGACTCTGGGGCTCTCGAGGTGAGATGTGCAGGTGCTTCACCACTGCTTGCTGACCGACTCGCCCTGTTTCTCCTGCGAACTGGCTAGTTTTCAGGCTAGCGGTGGAGAGACATGTCGAGGTGGTTTTGTGACTGTCTTGAACTGAAGATGCCGAGTGAGGCGTTGTGATTCAACTTTAGAAAGCAATGGAGGAGAAGCGAGAATTGACCCATGACAAGGGCCCAGCCGCCCAGACCAGTCAGTATTCGAGTATCGTGTATCGGCATGTCAAGTGACGATGCGTGGCCGCGGATGCAGCCCATCTGCCAGGTCGAATTTGAAAAATGGTCCTCGCATTGAATGGTAGCTTCGGCAGCTATTGGATCTACCCTGTACGTCTTCTTCTTCGATTTTCTTCTGGTCCTCGCATTTGGCTGCCGAGTGTACATGGCCGGCCTTTTCTTGTACATATAGCTAGATACTGCGAAAAAAAAAGGAGACTACGGATGTTGATCCGGACGACGTCGGGGAGGAAGCCGCAGAGGCAGACGTGGATATGGATACAGAGGCAGAGGCAGAGGCAGGGGCAGGCACCTGTACCTGTGTGTCTGGCGGTCGAATGTCTCTCGTCTGACAGACCGGGACGGGGACGGGAGTCTGAGTGCGTCGGGTCGTCGGAGTGTTTGGCGCTTGTAGGTCGGGGTCTCCTTCTTTTTCATCCTAACAAAGTCATGCGGTTGCATGTCTCGCCCGTTTTTCGTCTGATGTTGTCGTCGCCTGTCGGTCCTGACTTTTCTCGTGTATGTGCGTGCATTTGCAGAAATATGGCTTAGTTGACATGTTATTAACATGCATCTACTGTGTATTGCAGCGGATGGTAGGTATGGACTCTGAGAGTGCGGATATTGATTCGGAGACTCGGTATTCCTTTCACCCCTTTCTCTTTGTTGTTTTTCGTAGCAAAACACGCCCTCCTGCACCAATGCCAATTAGTTCTTCGTAGTTGATGCGACGAAGACTCGCAAAAGACTCGGGCGGTTTACGTACTCGTGCTAGGGAGGTAGTCTGGCGTTAAAACGTCTAGGCTGGACGATGGATCGGCTTCCAGGGTAGCAAACGAATGTCGACACAGACATGGAGCTCCCCCCGGGCCTTTTTTGATTGTGTCATTTCGCAGAGCGGACTGGCCCCGGTGCGTACCCAGTTGCGGTGCTGCGGCGATGCGTGAATGTGGACGTGGGCATCATGAACCTCCAGGATGCATCTGCTAGGGTGAGCGAGCACTTGCAGCCGCAGCAAGCTTAGGCTGGGTCCTTCCTCCAATTGTCCACTCCGGTGCTCCTTCCTTCCCATTGACCGGGACGCTCTTGTAAGTTGAGGCAAGCAGCGGGCAAGAACTAGGTATGAGAAAGAGGCAGGCAGAGGTGGGCGCATCTTGCCTGACGCACTTTGCATTCCATTTGTGGCGCATTGGCAGCGTTGGAACCCCCCACTTTTTAGAGGCCAACTTCCCACCCCCAAGGATCTTGCGCTAGCCCATTCCTGACTCTCGAGCGGCCCAGGCGTGCCAGGCGTGCCAGGCGAGAAGCTCCGCATCTTGGATGCCCATCATGCCTACCCCATCACTGCCAACTGCCCGTGGTCATTTTTGGTCACTTCCATTTGCTCCTCAAGTTCCATGGAAAGAGCGAGCCCGCCACTAAGTGCACCTGCCATGGGGCAAGAACCACGACATTTCGCGACGCTACAACTCCACTTGGCTCCCAGTGGCGCGCCGCGTTTCCTTTCCCGATCCTCATTTGCGCACTCATCCATGGATGGAAGTACCTTCGCGTTCGCTTGTTGCTAAGTTGGTTGTGTGGAAACTTGAAAGAAACATCGGATGGTGGGTGGTAAACGGTCTTGAATGGCTACACCCCAGACTCCTTATCGCAGTCTATCCCCTCCGTTGCTATCGTCACCGGCTATGATTTCCTCATTGCAAGAGGTCATCGATGCAGACCATCTTGCTTTGCTTCGCTTCTGGCGTGCATTTGCAGCTGGGGTGCATACGTACTTACATAGTAGATATATACACATGCATACTTGGAAATATATACATAGACCAGGAGGTGAACATCATCCCATCCATACCTTGCCTTACTCCGTACGGATACCTTACACATCCTGTTACTCGCCTGTTCCTTGCCTTCCCGTCCCCTACCGGCGTCGACTGCCTCATGCAGTATCACTCGCCTTTTAGCACTCTACCTGTCCAACTACGCTAAAATTCGCATCGTCCTCGTAAGAATCTCGATCCGCGCTCCACGCGCCTGTTGCTTGCCATTGTCTCTTCCTAACACTCGCCCACGTCCCTTTTACTCTTTTCTTTCCAAGGATCAATACCTTTGCTCCTTGTCACTTGGTCTTACTGTACATCCCTCTTCCTGGTCCAGAAGAAAGGCTCTTGGCCAGCTTCCCCACAAAACAGTGCATCGATTTCTTCGTCTCGACCACGGGGAACCCTACACCGGCCTCCCGACCTGTTCAGCACTTTCTTATTTACCATTGTGCTCGGCCAACTTATCCTGACCTGACCTCACTTTCTATTTCCTACCCTCCTCGCCTTGCCTTGGCCTGGTGTTGCTTCCAACAACCTCGCTTTCTCTTCCGCGCATCCCCCCCAGGATTCTCGCAAACCGACTCGAAACGAACTCCTGCGTTCACGCGAAAACCAAACCCCCCCACCCCTTCTTCTCGCGCACTCTCAAATTGTCTCCTACCCTTCCTCTATGGCGCCGTAGAACGAGGACGCGATAGCATAAGGCGGCGGGCTGCATCTCATTCCCACTAGACAATGTTTTCCTCTCTGCTTCGACCCAAGCAGAGCAATCGCAGCCGTCGCGTCGACCGATTCCACGATAGGCAATCCCCTTCCCCTGGCCCAGCCTATCGTCACTACGTTGGCGAACCACCACGACGCGCAACCGGAGACTTCACCGAGGCCGAAGATGACGACGAAGAGGAGGAGGATGAGGAAGAGGACGAAGGCCTAGGCCACTCAGGGGATGACCACGACAACGTCGACGACGAAGATCACATTCAGCGTTCCTTGCCTGTCCTTCCTCTCTTCTCAGAGACGTTTCTCGGTACAAGACAGGCAGAAGCCCTCGGTGGCTACCCCTATAGACGTGCAATCTCTAGCTGACCGCAAACCTGCAGATTCTTTACCCATCTATAGCATTACCCATGCGATTCGCATCATCGTTCAGACCCGTACCGAAACGACGCTATCATGGGACCAAATACGCTCCCCCCAAGTCTCCCAGTTCCTGGTCAAGCCAATGCAACAGCAGATCAGGACGCAGCAGTTCAACCGAGCCACCCTATACTGTCTGATGGCCAACTGCCTACAGTTCAACAAGGAGGCCCAGATGTACCCAGGCAATGCTGGAAACAGCTCAACCAGGGCTCTGGTTTGCGAATTATTGGCTCTGAAGCTCTTGAAAGAGTATAACACCCGCGAGCTTATCGACGCTCTATCCTACGACTTTTATCCACTTCAAGGCCTTCCCGGCGCCCAGCCAGCAAATGCACCGAAATCGGACCCAAGAAACAAGGCCCGCCTTACCGCGGCCCGGACTTCGACATTAGAGGTTGCTATTCGTGCTTCTGCCAAGCACTTCCTCGCACACCCTCTAGTCGTGCAGCAGTTGGAGGCTATCTGGAACGGAGCCATCAGCTTTTATTCGTCTGCAGACAGCTTGCACCGAGAACCTCCTCCTTCGCCTGGTAGTCAGGGAAAACCCGATTCCAGAACGCCGCTACTTGGCGGCAATAGTCAAAAGGAGGGCCAGCAGCCGACGGCACCCGGAAGAAGGAGTGTGGTTCTCTATGATCCCCGCCAGGCGTCCCTCTTCAAGCTCTCACGACTTCGTGTGCCGCGCTACAGGTTCTTCCTCTCGACGCTGTCGCTTCTTGTTCTAATTGGCCTGTTCCTTGCTGTCTTGGCTCAGCGTTCGGCGCGGATCAGCTCGCTGGAGCTGATATTCTGGTTTTGGAGTGCCGGTTTCATGCTGGATGAACTTGTCGGGTTCAACGAACAGGGGTTCTCGCTTTACATCATGAGCTTCTGGAACGCTTTCGATCTGGGAATTCTTCTCTTGTTGATTGTCTACTACTTCATGCGTGTCTATGGGGTTTTCCTCGTGGACGCAAAGCACTGGAATGACTCTGCCTACGATGTTCTTGCGGCGAATGCCATTTTGTTGCTCCCCCGTATCTTCAGCGTCCTGGACCATTACCAGTACTTCTCCCAGCTGCTTATTGCGTTTCGCTTGATGGCTGTTGACCTTGTGGCCGTCACTGTCTTGATTCTCATATCGTGCAGCGGCTTCTTCGTCTTCTTTACTCTGGCTGACGGCAATAACAATGCTGCTGATATCGCCTTCCGGATCTTCCAGCTTCTCATGGGCTTTACCCCGGCTGCTTGGGAACTGTGGCCAGGATATAACTGGCTCGAAAGGGGCCTTATGGGTTTCTTTCTGATTATGTGTCACTTCGTCATTGTGTAAGCCAAGCCTGTTTCTCGCGAAGATCTTAAACTAACAAAACCAGCACGATTCTCATTACGGTTTTGACCAACTCGTTCATGAAGATTGCCTCGAATGCCAAAGAGGAGCATCAGTGAGTAGCCAAAGACACCTCGCTCAGAAACAACCTCTAACAAAATTCAGGTTCCTTTTTGCGATCAACACAATCTCCATGGTCAAGAACGATGCGCTCTTCTCCTATGTTGCACCAGGAAATATCTTCGCGTGGCTGTTGATGCCCATGCGCTACTGCATGCCACTGAAGCAATTCGTAAAACTGAACAGAACAATCATCAAGGCCACACACTTTCCTCTTCTGTTCTTCATCTTCCTGTACGAAAAGTACTGGCTCGCCCCATCAATGTACGAGCCCACGGATCTTGTCGAAAATCACCAGCACCACGGCAGGGATCGGACAATTTCCTTTGCAGACCCAGCAAGCCGATCTGCTCTTTTCAGCCCCAACGTACGCGTTCGCGAAGAATCCATTACCGGCTACCAGAAGGATCATGCCTTGGAGGAGGTCTTCCGACGAGGTCCTGGCCTTGCGACTCTGCGAAATCAACGGCGGAACGAGAGGAAGAAGACACAACATGCGGTCCGAAACTGGATGGATCGCAATGACGAGGAAGAACCCTCCCCTCATCTCCAGCTTTCCCAGTGGCCGACCCTGGAGAATGGGAGCACCAGTGCTCGGCCGGATTGGCATAGAAGACTCAGCCTCTCGAAGGAGCTACGGACACAGAGATCTCGTCAGATATCAGATGTCAGATCTGCGGCTAGCGACCCAGCAGATTTCATCTCGCAGCCTGCCATAGGCTCCTTCTTCCGGAACGTTGTCGCAGCGGCCAAAGCTAAGGAGGAGGAGAATCAGCAAACAGATGCAGATGGCGACGACGAACTTGTCACCAACGATGAAGAGGAAGAGGAAGATATCGCAACAAATGCTGGCGACAGCCGTCGCGGTCCAGTCATTCATCAAACCTCGATTGACGATTACTTCAACTCCACACCCAGAACGAAGGGGTTCGTGCCGCCCCCGGCATCTTCATCATTGGGGTCAAGTGGCAGGCCCTCTGTCTCGGTAACTCCTCGCTCTGCGCGTCGCGTGCCGCACAGCCGGACGATGTCAACGAACACTATTCTATACGCACCGCAGGAGCTGCGTCGGCCGCCTAGCTCGTCTTCTCATTCTTCGCCGGACCCGCCGCCTACGCGTGCGCGTGTGCAGAATGGCCGTCCTGCGGTAGTTGAACCGGCCACAGCTAGCGGTCATCGTTCTCCTCGCCGGCAACAAACATATGTCACCAACACGCGGCCCAGACCTATCATGCCACCACGGGATGCAGTGCAGACGGCGCCGAACCGAGCAGCTCTCACGGGCATCGATCAACGCTTACGCCCGAACCCTCTCAGACGGTTGTCTTCGGTTGACATGAGCATATTGTCCGAGAATATCGTACCTGATGACCCAACGGGAGGCATGCCTTCAAGCTTCCAAACACAGATGGCCATGGCTATGATGAAGGATGCACGACTAGGCGGTGCGGGACGAGGCCAGGATGCTGGTGACAGCAACCGGATGAGCAAACTCGTTCTGGCACGGATGAAGACTCTGGAAGAAAGCTTTGCAGATGTTGCGAGGGAGTTGCGCGGGCTGAAGACAACGTCCAACTCGACGGCGCCTACCACACGCCGCAATTCGTCAGGCGAGGAGCTGCAAAAGGTTGCAGGCCTGACAAGTCCCGAAATCGCTAGACAGAAAGACGGAGGTGATAGACCAAAGATGGTGAGAAGAACGACGGGTAAACGGCCGGCCAGCCGTAAGAGCAACTTGGGCCCCTTGGACAAGCCAAAGGGCAAGGGCAAGGAGCCGGCACACTCATCAGGCGACGAGTCCGACAGCGAGGGTCCGGGTATGGGACCGACGAAGCGAAGCTCAATGTAAAAAGGGGAAGTCGCGGTTTGAAATTTTGCTGGGCATTTTCCGGCGCGCTATACCTCGGTCATGGTTGGTGATTACCGGCATCCGCATCACTGGGGCGTTTGGAACCTAAGACGTTGTTTTTCCCCGCCTCCCTCCTGGAGGTTGTTGTTGTATCTGTGCATTTGTTTGCCTGCCTTTCTTGTTTTGTGTTACTTGTTTGTGGTTTTTTTTTTGGCATGCCGCATATACATCGTTAGCTGGCTGCGATTGCATTCGGACATGTGGATGGAGGTAATGATTGTGGATTTATGGTTTTTTGTTTTTTTTTGATAAATCTAGTCTGGATCGGAATCTGAGTGCCCCATCCCACTTTAGATCCGTCCAAGTCTCCTGTATTCATACTTTACATAAAAAGTCAATTTGATCATCGCCCTCGACTGATACCCCCTGATATGACCGTTTAAAGTGTAGCCCGTTTGCGGCGTGTTGTTTTGGGGATGCGATGTGGACGGTGAGGTGAAGCCGTGGCAATTCATTAAATACGTTAAACTTCCATTTCCCTTATACCGAACCATCCGTGTCTCGTAACCGTCTGGGTATATGGTTTTTTGTTGTGGTTTTGTTTTTTTCCCTTCTTCTTGATCGATTCTCGAAGTCACGAGTGTGTGTTTTTGTTACGATGCCCCTGTAGAGAGAGATTCTTAGATCCCTCCGCCGCTCCGGTCGACGCTGACGTAGTACGGATTGCTGGAGCACTGGTTCTGGTCGTTTGTTCTCCTCGAGAGGGCGGTGTATCTGAAGCTTACGGCGATGGCTGTAACGGCTGCGGTTACGACGATGAGGCCTCGGTGGCGGCTGGGTGGTTGTATAGGTTAGTCATTTGGGGAAATACATGTAGAAGAAATTGTATTAGAGGAGATGGGAGAGGTTTGGTGGCCCGGAAGAGGAGGAGAACGAGGGACGGAGGAGGGGGGAGACGTACATCGCTGGGCGGATGTGAGGGACGGGCATCGCGGCTTTGGGTTGCATAGTGGGAAATGTCTTTTGATGTTTAGTTGACTGCTAGCAGTTGATGGTTGATGATGTGGATATGAACGATGGGGTTTTCACGTTTCGAGGTGGTATTTGCAAGAGCTTGGTCTATGCAAGAAAGCAGAAGATCGGGGGAAGGGTCTCTAGTTAAGTAGACGACTCAACGTCCTCGATAGCTCTTGGCTTCTTCCCCAGCTTCCCGGGGGGCGGCATACGTGGAGGGGAAAGGGGAGGGAGGGGGGCATCATACACACATACACAAAGTGTTTTTGTTGGGGAAGGACGGGGAAGATGTCACTAGTGCCGCTTGGTGTGTGCGTTTGTGTGTTCAGAGGAAGCTTGGGGATCGGACGATTGGCATGGGAGAGTTTCTGGTACGTTTACTATTACTAAGGTAAAAGGACAAAGGGACTGGAACTGCGACGACTGCGGCTCGGATCAGCAGAGTGGAAGGACGTTTTGTAGACCCTGCTTGAAACTGACAGACTGGCTGTCTGGGTATGGGAATCCTAAGGGCAATGGCAAGAGGACCGAATGCCGTGGCATGGGTTTGCGGTGCGGTCAAGGGAAGGGAAGGGAAGGGAAATGTGCTTGCTGCGAATAGGGAGAGACGGAAGTGAAAAGTAGCTAGATGCTAGAGGCAGTGTGAGTGGGTGTTGTGTTGGTCTGGAACCGGTGGCAATGGGCATGGTACGGTGCTTTGCTGATGGTGGCGTGTGTGAACTTGGCGGGGGGAACTGGAGGCCTGGTGGCATGGAGGGGGAAGGCGGACACGCGACTTGCGGGACGAAGGCAGGTTGGCGGCGGGCGGTATCTGATTCTGGGGTCAGGGGATGTGATTGGGTGGTTGTGGTTTGGAGCTTGGCTGGTGTTGGGTTGGACGCCGAGCCGAGACCTTGTCTATGGGGTAATACTTATGGCACCCAAGGTAATTCTGAGGATGCGAGTTGTGGGGGGAGGTTTGATAAGCATCATAAAGGTAATGAGCGGTCAGTAGATGGGAAGTCAGAGTGGTATGAATACTCTATAGAAGGGAGATTGTAGCGAAACATCTCTGAGGTTGCAAACCAACGATGAAATTGAGGACGTCGAGTGCATATTCGGACAAAAGGGAGATGCTTTTTTTTGCAGCTGCAAGCTGTGTGTAGCCAAGTACCTTAGACTGGACGAGTTGATTGAGACGGCGCCAACTGGCGGCACGTGTGCGCAGCTAGACGCAAGTGCGCATGCATGCGTGATGCGGAAGTATGCGCTTCGCTGGTTTGGATTGTTTGGTTTTAGAGTTGGGCCAAGTTTCAGCTGATGGAGGGGCAGGGAATGGGATTTGAAAGCAAAACATCAGGGAATACCACATTGATAAGAACACTGCTACATTACCTGGTCTTCTGTGAATCAATGATCCTGCTGAGTGCGGGGGAGCTCCCCTTTGGAAACATGCAGCTCTGGAGGTTTGCTTTGAGGTGGGAAGCTTCGAAGCTTGGGGAAGCTGGGGGTGGGGGCAATCAGGATGCGACGTGAATGAGAAATGAACTGATGCTACTGAGTTTATGTACACCGAGTGTCAATCGGGAATACCCTTACGCAGGGAGGAATCCTGGCCATTCCAACTTTTCTCTCCTCTTTCGGAAGGTAGGGTGCTCGGATGAAGATGCATCAGTGCGCGGAACGACCCTTTTGGCAGCGGGCAAAAGCTGCAGAACAAGCTTTTACTGCGGGAGCTTCCTGGATCCTACGTTGTGATGCGGCAATTCAAAAATCGTGGGGGTTGAGTCAGGGTTGAATAAGCTTATCAACTTATGAATCATGAGTGACCGAGGTTTTCGTGGATGTCATGGCATTTGGGGGCGCACGTATGGTTCTGGCACGATCCATCGGAATGTTACCTCGGCAGCCGACCTGGGGGCACGGGAGAGTGGAGCCGGTATTCGGGGGCCTGCGTATCGGACTGACCGGGTCCGCTCCGGGGCTAAGGCCGGACTTCAACTTCGCTCTACCTGTACACACCTTTGCTGACCTCGCCGTTCAATCCGAAATCAATCCATAAAGCTGTTCTGTGAGTACTGCTCTAGCAAGTTACCTCGAAAGTATGTAAACTAGGCTGAAGCACCTACTATCCTGCATGCTCAATTTACCTTCACCATCACAACAAAACGTTTTGTCCACCATTTCGTTCCCTCATTATGTCATGGGAGCAATCTAATCTTCTCTCGCAAGTCTCCTTAATCCTCTTGTGCGCATTCAGTAGTGAATCGATCACGAGTCCAGCCAAACCACTCTGCAAGCCGTCCCATGCCATGAAGCATGGCGGGGTCAACCTTGAGGACCGGGTGCGGCTTATGAAAGATGATCGCCCCCTTCTCGCCGAAATCACCTCCGGATCCTACCTCAAACCGCACCGCCGATCCGCCGTTGTTGCTCGCCACGAAACCGGCATCGCATAGAGCGTGTACGAAGTCGTCCCATGTGATGTTTCTGGGCTTGCTTTGCGCATCGGGGTACATGAGATGAACTACATCAAGAGTGCGCGGAGCGACCTGAATTCTCTTGGCGGGCTTGATCGAAAGCCTGGCGGTGTCGATAGATTCCGGAGTGTCGGCTAGCTGGACGCTCTCGGGCAGGCTGTCGGGTCTGGTCTTGACTTTCTCGCGCTGGCTTGTCTGGGCCAGATCAGCTCGAATGGAACTCTGTGACGCTGCGCTTGTGTCTCGGAGGTGTCTGGGGTAGACTTCTCAACCTCGATAATCTTAGTTATGATCTCCTCTTCTTCTCGAGCAATAGCTTCTAGATATTCAGGCTTGTTCTGGACAAGCACAGCACCCAGAGTTTCTTCAATGGTTTCCACTTCAAGGCCAGTGCCTTGGAGATCTTTCCAAACCAAGTTCCCCAAGTCCTTGAAGTATCCCTCCAAAAAGCCTCGCAGGATCTGGCTTTGCCTCAGCCATCCCTTGTTTTCGGGACCGCTGGGAGCTTTTCCTTTGTGGAAGCCGTCCACAAGGGCTTCCCTGTCTCCTTGAACTCTTGTTTCGAGTGGTCCTTGGGCTTGTCCTTCGCATATCTCCAGACTTCGCGCTTCTTCGTCCGAAACACATCGTAAATGACCCTGAAGGTGTTCCGAGGTCGATTGAGGCGTAAAGAAATCAGAGACTCGTGGAGGGCAGATATGTCGGCCAGCTCGCGCATGAGAAACTCGTCGATACGGGCTGCTTCCTTCCTGTTGTTCTGAGCCAGATGATCGTCAATCATTGCAAAGAGCATGGCGTGGTCAAATTGCCTCTGGTTGTCAGGCTTTCTCATCATTTGATGGAGACAACAATCGAGCGGGCCGTTCTCTAGAGCTTCCTCTGTGTCCAGGTTCGAGTGTCGTGACACGCCGCGAACGACCGTTTCCAGGGGCATACCAGGTTTCTTGGATAGGCTGTAATGTAGAGCTTGTTCTGGAGCCCAGGGTATCAGGAATTTGAAGCGCTTGGTTCGCTCCAGAAGTTGGTTAACGAGGAGAAGCTCCAAGGCACCGAGGGCCAGATTGTACTTGGGACGGATTGGCTGGCCGGGATGCGTGCTGTCTGCGAATATGGCGTGTAGATCTCGCGCATGCTTGCACTCGACCTCGATCCAGTACCAAGAATAGTATCTTTGATACTCCATATAGATGTATTGAGCGACCATCCTTGACGCATCCACTTCATCCGCCACGCGAAAGATTGTGATGCTGAAGAGACCCTTGATGTACCGTCGAAGATATGCCGGATCGCACTGAAGATCGGTGAGGTGGTCAAAATCGCCTCTGCCTTGCGCGTCTATGCCCTGGATGAAATGTAGTCTAAATCAAGCTTGGGAGGCCGAAAAAAGTCTGGGTTCGTGTAAGGAGACCAGAGCTCCGTCTCACCGTGTGTCGGAAACCAGTCGAGGTCTGGGTTCTCCATTTATCTGTCCTCGTACTGGCGCTTGCAGTATCTGCGCTATCGAGAATCGCATCAGTGATTCGGGAAAGGACATTCATGAGGAAGGCTTGAGCTTCGTGTACAAGTCGTGCGCGAGGAAACCCCAACGTGCATCCAGTATGCGTCTGTTGCGCGTTCCAGACGACAAGATCGCCATACCGGGATCCGGACATGACGACATACTTGGCAGAGAAGACGACATCAAAATTTCCAGAGGCCCAAGACAACTTCATCTGACGACAGTCTAGCGGGGCGAAATCCTCTGGCGGGTACAGAGTCCGATGATGGAGGAGGGCGAACAGGACAGCCGGACTCGTCTTAAGCACCTTGACATTGAGCCAAGGAACCAACAGGTGACGTCGCCTCTGCATAGTCCGCTCACCGAATCGAAACTTCTCCTCGCTGTATCCGTATCTGGAGTTGATCCACTGGGGCTCCTCGAGCTCAGGCACGGCCTTGTTTAGTAGCTCGCGACGTTGATCCTGGCTTCGCTTCCGCCAGCGGCTCATGAGGAGATCGACATAGGAGCTGAGACGGTTGGTGATGTGCTTCCTGCTCTCTTGAGCCTCTTTGACATATGCCGACGCTGTATTGGCTGCAGAGGTATCTGAGATGCTGTGGTGGTAGGAGTGGCTGTACGCATGTTGTTCGCTCTTAGAGTAGTACCCTATCTGACAGTCAGGGCAGTCATGTGGCGGTGGCCGTACAGATCTCTTGACTTCTTCCGGGTTACATAGCCAGCCCTCCGGCACTTTGACGAATCTGGGGCGTGAACCCGAGATGTTCTGCTTCAGATGAATGGGGTATTGTTCATCGGTGTAGAATGTTGTAAGGTTGAAGGTAGAGGCGCCCTGAAGGTTTCCCTGTAGTTGCGTATCTGATAGCGCGAGTGTTATTGGGGAAGTTTAGGAAAAGAATCCGGTAGTTGAAATGAAGAAGATTGAGAGGTCGATGTTTTAAGCCTAGAGAAGATGTTTTGGAAGTCAAGGCAACTAATTTTTAGGCAGTGACTCGGGCTATTCTTTGGGACTCTCCATCATGCAATGTGCAAATTATCAAAAGAATTCTCTGGCTAGTGCAGTGCAAAGGAAGCTCATACGACCAGACCAGCCTTTGGCTTAAGGTAGGATTCCAGCATCATCACAAGCTTACACACATCGCCATATATGCAAGTTTCATTGCACAATGTAGGAGTGAAGCCGAAGCTACACCACTGTTAGACAGTTGGATAATGTCTTTCTACATTGCTCCTTTGTTATGTAGTATGAAGTAGGTCATGTGCCAGGCTTTCTTTGACACTCAAAATTGAGCGCTCACTAAGAATCTATATACAATGGATTTGGTCTTTCTTTGATTCATCTTTCAGTTAAGCAAGATGGGGGTTTTCATCAGGCAGTATTGACGCCCTACTTCCAAGAGTCGCTTTGTCACGCCGGCCGGTCTCGAAGTGGGGTCAAACAGACCGGATCTTTAGTTCTCGGTCCACACAGCGCCGGCCGGCCGGAACGGAGCTGAAAGCTAATCCCGTGGTATTGGGAGGTACCTCATGTAAGCACAGGGTACGTCACCCGCTTCCCCCACTTTTGGTTAATCGAGCAGGCAACAGCGACAACAAGGCCAAAGTGTTGATGAGTCTTTCAAACACCTTGATTGACTGGTTTCTAAAGAGGCCGCCTTGCTACAAAGTAACAAGGAGCATATACTTCGACAGTCTTCTCCTCTGTATGATCTGAGGCCTACCAAGGAAACGGTTGACGGATTTGTGGTTTTGCTTAGTTGCTACTGGCTAAGTCACATACCTACATAGTAAGGTAGATTAGTCGGCGCTCAACAAGTCCATTTCACTTCATCTTTCTTTCCCTCAAAGGGTACGAAGAAAGAGAATTGAGTCCGAGGTCCACTGCTAGTCGTCATCTGCCACCTTGGCGTATTTCTACCCTTCTCTCTGAAAGATTTCCAGACGGCCAGTTCGTTCCCTCGTTTGTAGATGACCACTCCAGACTGCCGGGAGCTTGGTGCATCTTCCATGTAGGTAGGCACTGGAAGTAAGGTACCCCAACTACCTCCCTATACATGCCACAGCTGTATCCCTGCTCCTCGCAAGGTGTAAGCTGTACGAGACCAAAGCACCTCGACGTACCCGACATTTTCTGCACCCGAAGTAAGGTAGAGTCACTCAAGTCACGAGCTGCCTAATACCTGGTCATCCAGTCGCCCTTCTCATTCCCGCAGTGTGCTCACCGTACCCAATGCCTGAACACTTGTGCCTAGATGGGTAGAAACCCACGTTTGTTGCCTGCATACCTCCTAGACCCGGTCTTAAGTCACCGAAGCACAGCTAAGGTACCTCTTCTTACCCCTCCATCCAAGCCTCCCATCTTCCTCTCAACCTCTACTGTCACAGCTTCATACCTTTCCTTCTGATCCCACCACATTCTCATTGCTCGGAATCCACCGTCATCCAGCCTTGCAAACCATCACGCGTTCCTCGCGAGAGGCTTTCCTTCGATCATTTTCTCGTCTACGCTCTCAATAGAACAGCCGCGTGGCTGAGGCGATCGGCAGAGTTTTGGAACCGTCCTAAGTGACATCTGACTCCGAGACTTTGCTGCCTGGACAAGGCTACGCAACCCCACCAACCTTCATCTTTGGGTATCCAAACTGCGAACCGACGGACTTGTTGCCTTGCGAAACTCCCAGCTCTTTCCTCTAGGTCTTTTCTCTCAGCTGTTTCTAGTACCAGAGAAGCCACTCATAGCTTTGATTCCTACTCTGACCTAGACGTCGTCAACCTGCCGACTAGTTTGGTGACAGTCTGCCATAGCCTGTCAGAGAGCCCAGGGAACTAGGTTTTCCTTGCCACAATATCAAGCTCAATTCTTGTCGCCTACATTTCAGTATCGTCGCAGCGATGGCTCCGGACGAGAACAAGGCGCCGTCCGCGACTGCAGAGAACGACTGGTCACCTGTAGTCATGGACTGGTGGGAGGCACCTGAGGATGAGCCCGGTCGCGGTGTCACGTACGTTGCGAATGCGCTCCGAGAGTCATTTCTTGATGAGGAGGCTTTGCCTGAGCGCTTGGCTACAGAGCCATTCCCTGTGGCAACATTATCTGAAGAGACAATCGATATCACCGGTCCCTTCCAAGTTGGTGATGTCGCGCCGCAGACAGTCAATACCTTCAGTGCCAATATACCGTCGCAACAGGGACCACGCTCCAATGAGAACAATATGCCACATAGCCAGGCTCGCCGTTACTGCCAGTTCCTTCTCCACGACATCGAGAATGAACTCAACAAAGGCGATACCTTGATTTTCGTCGACTTCCCGACTCCTGTGAAGCCAGCAGACAGCGTTGATTGCTTCATATACGCATGGAACTCGGTTCGATTCCGGATGCACTCCAAGAAGCTCTTGGCTACTGGGTCATCCAAGTTCGCGGAGATGCTGAATCCTACTTACCAGTTCCGTGTTCAGCGTCGGCGCAAGATTGCCAAGAATCTTCCCCCTGGCATCAAATATGTCTTGGATCTCACGCCTCCTTCCGAGGGCGATGATCTCGTCTTCCAGATGACCGAAGCTTCGCTGACACCGGGTATCATGGATTGGTGGACGGCTTTCGACAAGCATGGTGTAGACGACTATGTCGTGCGTGGCCACGACGACGTTTGTTCTTGCTGGAAGGAGGCCAATTTCGATAATTTCAACGTGATTATCGATAAGATCTCGACGAGCGAAGCGGCACGAGATGACAACAAGGAGCGGGACCCGGAGATGGAGTATGCCATCAGTTCGGCCATTAGAGAGAGTCTGCGCGACGTCGTCCCAGAGAACAGCAAGAATAAGGAGAGGCTGTACAGAGAGGACAAGGGACTGGCTGCCAGAGTTCTGGAGAAGAAATCTAGAGGGGATCTTTCTGCTGCCCCGATTCCCCCTTACAGACGAATCCCGGACTACTGCCCGATCCGCCATCGCGTCAACATCCTGCGACTTATGTGTATCATTGCAAACAAGCGAGTTTTCATCGATTCGGCCGCTCGACTTTGGACCCTGGTGGCAGTGGCCAAGATTTTGGACTGTACCAGTGTTGTGGTGAGTTTATTAACTGCCACCTTTGTTAACATGATCTGATCCTAATGTGATGATTAGCGCGATCTGGTTCTTCAATGGATCACAACTCCCAACAACACCTCCTTCATCGAAGTGTTGCCCGAAGAGAGCCTTCAGCTCGGAGTCACCCTGAAGCTGGACGCCGTCACCCGCACAGCGTTTCGAATCCTGGTCAACGAGCTGGCCCTGGAAGAGGCCGCCGATGTCAAGGGAACACCCAAGGCCGCGGCCTACACCGTCTTTGGACGCAAACGCCACGATCCCGGCGACGACTTGAACAACCTCATCCAGCACGCGGCCAGAGCCATGGTCGAGCGTGTTTCGTGGCCCGTCAACCAGCTGGTCAGCGACACCATCTTCGACGACCTGCAGATTCCGGAGTGGGCGCGGTTGCAGACCCTCATCGGCATGCTTTCGAGTTGTCCCAACGACCCCGTTATGGTCAAAGCCAAGGTCTCCGCGCTGACAGTCTCGTTCTCGTTAAAGACTCTCTGGGAGACCAACGTGGTCTATAAGCTGCTTAGGAAGCCTCTCGACGCCGATGATCTCCAAAAGATTGACGACCACCGAGCCAGCTACGTCGACATTCAGAACTTCAACCGCTTCGAGATCATCTACAACCAGTTCAACAATGTGCAGAAGGCTCTTTGCCCCTTCCTGTACAAGACGACCGGCAACAAGTGGACGTCCCTATCTGAGGTGTTCACTTCGGGCGCCTCGGGCCAGATGAACATGTACAACGTGGTTTCGACTTTGTGGAAGCACCTGAAGGAGGTTCTCTACGCGCACCCCTCGTTCGCCTGCGATGACGCTTGGATGGCAGTTCTGAACCTCCCTCGCCCCTTCTCCATGAAGGACCCCCAAGACACCTGTGAGCTGAACGTCCCAGGCGCATACAAATACGGATTCGATAACCACGCATTCCAAAAGCCGCTCCAGGACTTCCTCAGGCCGCTCTACCAGGAATGCGTCCGTGCCGACTTTGAGATTAGGATGAACTTGACGCCGCACTTGCTGCTGAACCTGCACCAGAATGAGCTCAAGTTCCTGCCTCTCTGGGCCGGCGGTAACGACGACGGTACCGGAGGTGTGTTTGAGCACTCGCTGCCGCCTGCTGAATACGGTCCAGCGGGTCCGGGACCGGCCTACCACACCGGCATCACGATCCCCTCAGACGCTTCTAGTACCACGGGTTCGATGAGCAGCGAGCTGAGACAGCTTCGTCTGGAAGGAAGCGGTAGCACCATCGGACCTGGCAGCGTGGACGTGCAAGACGGCATTTCGACCGTCTTCAACCCGAACAGGGTCATCGCCGACGACGTATCAGTCCGCACAGAGTCCTTCACGGATGGAGACTCAGAGTTCGGCAACGCCAAATTCGCCGTCCCTGCGGACGGACAGTCCGTGGCGGAGGCCATGAGCACCATGGTCCTCGACGAGAGCCACGACCAGTCGGACGCCGGCACCAGCATCCACTTCGATACCGACGTTGACGAGGACGACGAGGTGATGACGGAAATTGGTCCAGAGGAAAGCCGCTCGCGAGAGCAGACGCCCGAGTACATTATTGAGGGCTCTGGTGCTCGCGCGGCATTCTCGACTCGTGAGGACCAGCCGGCCTCTGCTGAGTCCTCTTCGAAGAGCACTGCTTCTTCTTCCCTTCTTGACGACGACGATGATTTGGTTATGGTCTAGATCACCGCAGTGTAAATGCAGTGACCAATACTCATGATAATGATGTGGACTTTGGGATTTGTTTTTGGGCGTTTTTGGCGGGGTATCAACAAATTTGCATTGAGATTGCCATGGTGGCAGATCATACTTGTGATTACACAGGGTACAAAAAGGGGTCTGCGGTTGATGACACCGGTTTACGTTTCTGTTAGCACAGATGAGACCGGATACTTAGGCAACTGAAATAGATGTTGATCATGCTGTATTCAATACAAGAACATCAGTAAAACCCTTTTGCCGTTCTCGCCATAATGTGAGCTCGCCAAGGCCCGTCATCATATCGTTGCGTGGTGGTATCCTCCCTTTTTGTTTCAAGTCTATGCATCAAACTCCTCCGAATTACATACTCCCATTCCGAATGCCCCGAATCCATATTCCCGCTTTCCTGGCTCAGCCCCTGTTCAGCGTGTTTCCTGAACCCTTTGGATTCGCCTCGACAAACTCGTCCCACGCTCTCGCCTTCATCGTCTCCTCGTCCGCCTTGTCAAAGTCATCTTCGTTAGGCTCCGGGCGGTGCCAGCTCGCGTCGCCGCCGCCCTCGATGATGCCGCCCCGACGCATTTCCTCGTCGAGGTACTCGTCGATGCTCATCGTAGGCAGATTGTGGCCGGGGCGGAAAACATCCTTGGCCATCTGCTGCCTGTTCCCGACGAGCGTGAATGGCTGCAGCGGCTTGCCCTCCGTGGACAATATGGGACCTCCCTGCCCGAACATGCTCTGCAGCCGGCGCGGGGGCTGAAGACGCTCAGTGTATCCATCAGCGCCACGTTCCTCGGTGCGGCGGCGCTCGTCTTCCTCGACGGACGTTGGTGAGGGCATCAGCGGCACCGTGGCCTGGGCCAGAACCTCCAGCTCGCGGTTGATACCCTCGAGACCCTGGAACGCCATGTGCGCCGAGTACGCGACATGCGCGAGGTGCAGGTCCCGGGCGACCTCGTCGTCGCCGTCCTCGTTCTGGTAGCGCGGGTTCCTGCGCAGCGCCTCGAGGCGGTCCTTGAGGGCCTTTTCCGACTTGAAGTTTGCAATCTTTGCGTCGCGGCGCTTGGCGGGGTCGTTTGTGCCGAGGGTGGAGAAGGCGAGGGGTTCGTCGGTATAGCGCTCGTAGAGCATCTTGTCCGTGTCGGTTAGGAGGTCGTAGGAGTCGAGGGCGCCGAGGAAGGTCTCGTAAGCCTCGCGGGCGCGCTCAAGGGCGACGCGGCGCTCGATGGGGCGGCGGGAGGGGAGCTTCTGGTGCAGCTCGGCGAGGTGGTATGTGATGAGGAGGTAGGGGAGCGAGGAGGTGGAGAGGTCCTCAAGGGACTCGTTGGGGGAGAAGAGGGCGGCGCGGGAGATTAGGTCGAGGCATGCCTCGTACTCTGCGATGGCGGTTTGGAGGTCGTCGAGGTAGGTCGGGGAGGAGGCCTCGTAGGAGTTTTCGAGGGTGAGACGCTTTCTCTCAGCCGAGGTGAAGACGGACTTGAGGGTTTGGGGTTGGTCTTCGTCTGCCATGGTCGCTTTTCGGGTTGTGGTTGTGGGTTGTTGGGAGGTAGTCGTCGAGAGGGTCGTTTGTTGCTTGGTAAGGTATCGAGTGGTGGAGAGGGGTGATGGAGGGGTTGGGAGAGAATGGAGGATGGGAATTGCGATGAGTTACAGGGAAGATGAGAAGAAAAGCTTCGAGGGGAGACTTGTCGCCCGATGCGAATGGGTATAATCAAGCTACAGCGGCGATCAAAGTCTCTTAGACTGTGGCGTTTGATGAACTCGTAGCTAGCTTGGAATCTACTGCAACGGTTCGCCTCTTTGCTCTTAGAAAGAAACCATCAGAGAGAAATGGCGCCAAACGTTAGGTTCCGTGGTTCCAAATCCTTGAGTGGCGATTTGCATTCTCGGCAAGGGTCCTTATCTTATCAAGGGGAACACCTCCCAGGGGCCAGTGCTCCCGTGCTCCCTCAGTCTCACGGCGGGGGGAGCTGAGTGAAGGTGGGGTAATAACAGGGGTCCATGTCGGCAGAGCTCTCGACCGAAGGGTAAGGTACACCGTACGGAGTACTTCATAAGGTACTTGCAAATATCACCCTGCATTTGATGACCGTAAACAGCAGCCTCAATGAGAGAGCTCATCTCATCATATGAAGCAACGTCGATGTTGCCATCTCAAATTACAGCCAAGTTGCTTACACAGGCATCACAATGTGCCTGAGTCGTCATTAGACATCTTTCACGATGAAGCAACAATTCGAGGGCAACTGCTCGCGTCTCGTTGAAAGAAACCTAGGGCCATGGACATTGTCTGTCTGTATCTTGGCTCGTACACAAAGCCAGGCGAAATTATCACAGAATTCGATCCGTTTGCTTGCCTCATGCTGCTTACCGCACTATGCCGGCAACAATCGGAGGAAACATGTTTTTTGAGCTGACCAGCATTTTCTTTACATTTTCCACTCTCATTAATCTAGTCTTGTTTCCATCCTCCGTCCAAATGTTTGGATTTTCCATGCCGTTCCTGCCCTTTTCATCGAAGAAACTAAACTTCTTCCAAACGACTGGTCTCGTTCCGTTTCGTTGTAAACATCTTCATCAAAGTGAGAGCCAGGTCATCAATGAGAACAGTGCCGTCCGAGGCTTTCAGAGTCGCTGCTTCACTCTTCCACTCATCTTACCATTCGCACTTTCCATCTTCGAGTAAGAATCAATCCTTCTTCTATCGTGCCATTCCACCATCACCTTCCCTTAGCTTTCCTTCCACCACCTCCACTTCACTTTAGCCCTCCCGCCTTCACTTCATCGACCACAACTACTAAGTCAGACGTCACCAACATTAAACATCTCACGTAGTGCTGAGGTGTAATTCCTCGCACTAAGAGGTATTCTTTGCTTCCTACATTCTTTCCAAGAGCTACCAAGACTCTTCCACTTACATCATTTTTCTGACATCCTACAGTGACCTGCTTCTCTTTCGGCCCAGCGGCAAAGGTGATGATTATTGACTTTGACGCGCTTCCGCTGCCTTGACCCCAGAAGGAGTTGTTTGAGAAGGAGCAATTCTCTTCCAAGTTGATTTCGAAGCGGCATCGCACGTTCTTCACATTCATCCTGCACACACGCTCCACGCATCCGGTCTTTCCCTCGATAATTCAAAGACATCATCTGAGATTGCATTCTCTTTTCAAGAATCAAACCGAGGCAGAGACACCGCCTCATCAAGGATTCGCGCAGACATGGCGACCCTCCTTCCCTCTCAGCCCTCGACGCCTGTACAGAGAAGTCACAAGCCGCCTTCGACGACTGAAGTAGGAGAATTTTGCTCAGCAGAGAGGTCCACCAAGCTACTCTCTCCGAGCTACTCAACCGCGACTTCCCCCAGCGTCGAAGAGCAGGACCAAGTAGATGAGGACGACAACCACAATCAGGAAGAGGAGGAGGAGGACGATGAAGATGACTATCGCCGCTGGAGCCTGAACCCTGAGAGGCCGCGCAAGATCTCAGAGAAGAAGCGTCAGGATCACGCCAAGTTCCAGTCTTGGATTGAATCGAATCCAGCCCAGGTGCTAGAGGCAGCCTCGAAGACCAAGGCTCCGACTCATGGATCTGTTGCATACTTGGTGAAGGAGAATGAGAACCGAAGAATCATTCAGACTCCCCGCGAGTATCAGATCGAACTTTTCGAAAAAGCAAAGCAGAAGAACATCATTGCAGTCCTGGACACCGGCACCGGCAAGACCCTCATTGCTGCCCTTCTACTTCGTCACATACTTGAGAAGGAGGTCGAAGACCGCGCACTCGGAAAGCTGAAACGTACTGCTTTCTTTCTGGTTGACAAGGTATCGCTTGTCTTCCAGCAGCACGCGGTTCTTGAGTGTAACTTGGAGCATTCTGTGGCCCGCTACTGCGGCGACATGGTTGACGAAATGTGGTCAAGCGAGTTCTGGGCCAGACAATTTGAAGAGAACATGGTCATAGTTTGCACTGCGGCGATATTGCAGAAATGCTTGATGCACTCCTACATCCGCATAGACCAGATCAACCTTCTCATCTTTGACGAGGCACATCATACGAAGAAAAACCATCCTTACGCGCGAATTATCAAGGACTTCTACATCAAAGAGCCCGACAAAAACAAGAGACCCAAAATTCTCGGTATGACTGCGTCTCCGGTTGACGCCCAGACGAACATGAAGGTTGCCACGGCTCAGCTTGAGTGCCTCCTCCATAGCGAGATTGCCACTGTCTCTGAGGAATTACTATCTCTGAATCCTAACAAGCGGAAAATCATCGAGAGGGAAATCCACTATACTGCTCTAGTGAGATCGTCTGAAACTGAACTGGTGCAGCAAATACGAGCACTCATTCGCAGGAACCAGCTCTTTGACAAGGAGCTGCAATGGGCCACCACCGCCATGGCAGAACTCGGTCCATGGGTAGCAGATCGCTTCTGGAAGCTTTACCTTACAGACAACACTATCGCACGACTAGCCAACAGGACAGATATGAACTACACGGGCTTCGATGGTAGCGGCAAGCATACAGCGGCAGTCCAAAAGCTTCGAGATATCATCCAAAGCCACAACTTCAAGCCCCCCACCTTGGGCGATGTGTCCAGCAAGGTTCTTCGTCTTTGGGACGAACTGAAAGTCCGCTTTTCTCAGCCGACTGATTATCGGTGCATCGTATTTGTGGAGATGAGGCTCACTGCGGTACTGCTCGCCGAGTTGTTTAAGCAGGATGGCATGGACTTGCCGCACCTCAAACCGGCAGCACTTATCGGTAGTCAGTCCTCTGCAGGTCTCGCCAATATGTCCTTCAAGGAACAGCTCTTGACTATCACGAAATTCAGACGTGGTGAAGTAAACTGCATCTTCTCTACTCAAGTTGCCGAGGAGGGAATAGATATTCCTGCCTGCAATGTGGTCATGCGATTTGACCTCTACAAGTCCGTCATCCAGTACATCCAGTCGAAGGGACGCGCAAGACAACAGGATTCAGAATACCTCTCCTTCGTAGAGATAGGCAATGGAAGGCATACCCGAGCGGTAGCGCAGGCTACGTATGACCAAAGCGTCCTCCGCCGCTTTTGCAGCGCCTTGCCGGAAGACAAAAAGATCATGGGGATGGACATCAACGCCAGTGTGATGCAAGGAGAGTTGCACTATCAGACATACACCATCAAGGAGACAGGCGCCAAACTGACGTGGATGTCTAGCCTCGAGGTGTTGGCCAACTTCACATCCTCGCTACGCCAGTCTAGCGACGAAGTCTTGACACCTGAGTATGTGGTAACCAACCAGGGACAATCCTTCGTCGCCGAGGTTCAGCTTCCGGCAAAATCGCCGATTCTTAGTATCACGGGAATGCCACACAGGAGGAAGCAGGCTGCTCGCTGTTCTGCGGCATTTGAGATGTGCAAGGAGTTGATCAAGAAGAAGTACATCGATCTCAACTTGCAGCCGATCTTCACCAAGAAATTGCCTGCAATGCGGAATGCCCGCCTAGCCATCAGCGCCAACAAAAGAGCAGAGTACAAGATGCACACGAAGCCTGAAATATGGTCACGAGTTGGTACCTTTGATCAACTATACGTCACGGTGTTAAGACTTGGTTCGCCGGACGCCGTTGGCAAAGAGTCAAAGCCATTACTTCTCCTCACGAGAGAGAAATTGCCTGATCTTCCTCCAATACCTCTTTTCTTTGGAAATGACCAGCAGTCCGATGCCTTTGCCATGTCCATGCCAAACCCAATCAGCATTTCTTCAGAAGATTCAGAGCTTCTGAAGACCTTCACTCTCCGTGTTTTCAAGGACGTTTTCAGCAAGGAGTACGAGGCCACAGTTTCAGAAATGCCTTACTTTCTCGCCCCGACGACTCAGAACCATAATGTCGGCATTCAACATGCGGCGAACGCAGCTACATTGGTCGACTGGAACCACCTTCGGACGACCAAGGATAGAGAATATCTGAATTGGGATGACACCACCTCAGAGGACTTCTTCAAAGACAAGCTCGTGATAGATCCTTACGCGGGATCCCGCAAGTTACGCTTGAGAGGGGTCCGCAGAGACCTGAAGCCAATGGATCCCGTACCCGATGGCGTACCGGACCCTGGTCACAGGCCTTGGCGTGATTCGGCTGTGGAGAAGAATATCAAGGAGTACAGCGTGAGTCTCTGGATGAAGAGCCGCCTGAAGAGAACATGGCGCGATACACAGCCTGTGGTCGAGGCTGAAGTGATCTCATTGAGACGCAACATTTTGGACGACTTCGCTGAGGCCACAAATGAAGACTCCAAGGTCTGCTACGTGATATTAGAGCCCTTGAGGGTCTCGACTGTAAGTCTAGGCTCTCTCCTTTCTTGATTTCTTTACTTTCTGAACTCAAAAACTGACGACGATAGCTACCAATTGAGACAGTCGCCATGGCTTTCACATTTCCCGCCATCATTCATCGAATGGACCAGGTCATGGTTGCCCTCGACTTGTGCAAGCTGCTCAACCTCGACATCCGGCCTGACTTGGCCCTCGAAGCCGTAACCAAAGACTCTGACAACAGTGACGAGCATGACGCGGAAAAGATTAACTTCCAAGGTGGAATGGGCAACAATTACGAGCGCCTGGAATTCATTGGTGATACTTGCTTGAAGATGGCTACCACCATCGCCCTCTTTACCAATAACCCAGACAACAATGAGTTCCAGTACCATGTCGAGCGAATGTTGTTGATCAGCAACCGAAACCTCCTCAACAAGGCTATCGACCGGCATCTACAGGAATATGTGCGATCAAGATCATTCAACCGTCGCAGCTGGTACCCTCAGGGCCTCCGCCTCATCCGAGGCAAGAAGGGTAACGTTGATTCCAACCACGCTCTCGCGGACAAGTCCATCGCCGATGTTTGCGAGGCCTTAATTGGCGCCGCGTACCTTACATCTAGCGACTCGAACAACTTCGACATGGCAATCCGGGCTGTCAGCGCCATGGTAAATGACAAGAACCATCGCATGACTTCATGGGCAGACTACTATGCTGGGTACAAGCCCCCGTCGTGGCAGACTGACCCTGCCTCTCCAATGTACCGTGAGGTGGCTCGGCAGGTCGAGAAGAAGATGGGCTACGATTTCAAGTCGCCTGCGCTGCTACGAAGTGCTTTTAAGCATCCGTCCTGCCCTCACAATGAGTGCTCTCTGCCCAACTACCAGCGTCTCGAGTTCCTCGGCGATGCATTGCTCGACATGGTGTGCGTTGACTTTCTCTACCACAAGTTCCCCAGCGCCGACCCTGAGTGGCTCACGCGCCACAAGAGCACCATGGTTAGCAATCGCTTCCTAGCCTGTCTCTGCGTGAAGTTGGGTCTTCACAGGCATATTTTGACTGCCCAGGCGTCATTGCTGAACCAGACGCAAGAATTCGTCGCCTCGCTCAAGTTTGCCGAACAGAGTGCTAGAGAGGAGGCTCTGATGGAAGAAGTTCACATCGGAGCTCCCGCTGACGGAGAGAAGGGACAGGAAGCAATGGCTAAGACCGCAGAGAACGCCGCCACCGCCGCTCCGGTGAGCTACTGGCAACACGTAGAAGACGCGCCCAAATACCTCTCGGATATGATGGAGGCGTACATTGGCGCCGTCTTCGTCGACTCAGGCTATGACTACGGCCAAGTCCGTGTCTTTTTCGAAGCCCACGTCCGGCCCTTCTTCACAGACATGTCCCTCTACAGCGACTACGCCCTCAACCACCCCGTCACCAACGTCTCGCACATGCTCCGCAACGACTTCGGCTGCGACGCATGGCGCCTCATGACCAACGAGGTCGTACCGCCCATCGAGGCCGGCGCCGGCGTCATCACCGAGACGCAGGTGCTCTGCGGTATCATAATCCACGGGCAGGTGTACTTCCACGCCACGGCTGCGAGCGGACGGAATGCCAAGGTTGCGGTGGCCAAGGTGGCCATTGGAAAGTTTGCAGATATGGATAAGGAGGCGTTTAGGAAGGAGTTTGGGTGTGATTGCCAGGGCGTGGAGGGCGAGGGCGAGTGTGACACTGCTGACGATGGTGCTGCTGCTTGAGTTTTGGAGTGGTGATTTGGGACGGCCTCTATGGACTGAGCCTGGAAGGGATTGGAGGAAACCGAGGTGAACTGTCATCGACGGCAGGCGTCTCACAAGCGGAGACCATCATATCGCTATCTGCGTTAGCGAAGACAGTGAAGCAGCGAAGAACGTTGCAGCGAGAACAGAGATCGAACAGCAAGATGACACAGAATGAAAACGCGTCACCTCTTCATCTCCTACTTCTTCATGCCTCTATATGGAATAGCATTCTTCGGTGCTGTATGTCGTATGTCAGCTAACTCGTGTCTGAGTCACCGCTTCAAACTTGATGTTGAAACCATCTTGGAGATACCTCGGCCCCAGCTTCTTGATTCAATCTTAGAACACGCCGGTCTCGCTTCCTTCTCGATGAAGTCCAAGGGGTCCCCATGGGACATTTGTGATCATGCCAAACTTGATTTTCAATCCAAAGATATCCTTCCGGCCGAGTTATCCACTTCAAACCGCAACAGACCGATGGAAGCCATCTTCGGTCGGCTGAACGGTCCTCACGCCGTCCGATGTTTAACAAGCTTTGACCCAAACAGCCCTCCGACCTCGCAGTCGCACGCCGACAAAGGGTCCTAACAAGCGCCTTTGTTCCAGGCTCCGAGATTTTCCTCGTACGGTGGTGGGGTCCGGAGTGGGTGAGGATTCCGGGTCTAGTGCACGCCGAGAACTTGGACGGATGGATGGTGGGTGGTCGTTTCGCTTCTCGAGTTCTCGACTCATCCCCAGACGGGGGGCGGTCAGCCGGCCGTCGGGGTGCGGCTGACGGGCAATGCAATCAAGCATTTTTGATGGCCACATGGGGGAGCCGCGGAGAAACTGTCACGGGAGCCTGGGAATAGAAGGCGGAATCGGCTTCGGCTTGAGACCGCAGTCCGTACTCGAACTAAGTTTGATGGAGTCGATACCGATTGCCAAAAGTACCTAATAATGGAAAGTTGTCTTTTCCCCCTTCGACCAGCTAATACTCACTGACTAGGGAGATCCCAATAGAACCGTAATATGGCCTCTTCCAAGGTCATATACCTCGACTCTGCTTCAATCTTGACTCACAAGCCGCTCATCTACCGGTCGACGTAACGACGTTAAAAGAAATCGTACATGGGTGTAAGACGGGAATGCGAGTATCTACGCCCTTGGGTCCTTCAACAGCCAAGGCCGGCGCAGTCTCTCGTGGGCTTGAAGTATGGTTCTCTGGGTGGATGGCTGCAGAAGGCGGGTCAATTATTAATACAGGTTACACAGGACCATGTTGAGAAGGACAACATTGGCTGAACAGCCTGAGTAGAAACACCCCCGTAGGGTTGGCTGTAATGTTTAGCTTAAGCGTTTTTTTGGTGTGAACGGCCTCACCGTCAGACGGACATGTTCAACACCCCCATTGACTAGTAGCGGAACATACCATGAGATGGGTAGGCTGCGGAGTAACCTGCTGCAGGCAAAGTCGTCAAATAGAAGAGCGAGGCAACGTTCTGATCTGCAGCTTATCGGCCGAGGGCGATGAGTCCATTGCATTCTTTGCGGCCACCACCTCAGCCTTCCTAGTTGTACGGATAGAAACAGTATGTGGATTCTAGAAAGCACCCTGCAAATTGCCTTGTCATGCTGTATCCGTGTGTGCACTAGGATCAAAGTCCCCCAGGGTCTGCTCGTACTTGCGATATTGCCATCCTGCTCTTGTGCCGATTGGCATTGACGAACAAGTCTACACAACTTGAGCCAAGAGAAGTATGATCATTGGGGACATGGAATCTTAAGAATGTTTTTATCTTGACCAAACTCCCTCGATGATATGGGAAGCCGCCGGCCAAGTGACGGCGCCCTATCTCAGCTACTACTGCTTACACTCCGCATCCCCTCCGCCAAAACGCGAACCAGCCTTTCCCATACGCAGACGCACAAGGAAGAGACGCCGGCGCAAGCACAGACTCGTAGAGTATGTGGGGGGTGTGATCCCTCTGCCCCCCTCCGTCCGAAGGGTGTGCATAGTGAACTTGTCAAAAGACATGCGACTTGCGCCCTTCTGATGACACGACCCATTGTAATCCCGGTCTGGCGAGCCAACCATTGGTGACTCCGACTTGGACGCTTCCTCGAACGCCAGAATCCATCTGGCTTGATCCGATCTACTGAGCGAGGGAAGGATAGAGCTTTTGAATAAAAGATTTCATCGCCTAGAACTCGTTTGTCCCAATTTGTACCCTTTTCTTTTACTTATACCCTTTTTTCAATTTGCCTCCGTGGGACTTTGGATTTGTCACAACTCCAAACAACGCCCGGGCCTAGTTACCATCTCGACCGTTCTTGGTTGTCAACTTCTCGTCAAGAAAGATTACACGGAGCGGGGCTGACCGACGCCCTTCCGGTCTCTTTGACGACTGACAAGCAGCATCGACATCGACGCGACACATTGGAGCACCACCACGCCCTATCGATCTGCAATTCCAGCTGCAGGACATCTCTCCCATGCCATTCACGCCCTTTAGGAAGTTTCCCAAATCAGTCCGCGCCCTGCATTAAGGGCCAGTCAGTACAATGACAACCATCCCTGAGGACACCGGCATGGACGAATTCGTCAACTGGGAGGCGGCTGCTACCGAGGTAGGCAACATCTTCAACATGCCCACCCAGGACGTGCCACCCACCGATCCCAATCTGGACCTGGTCTTGGAGAATGCCGACGATGACGACTTTGGATTCGTCGCCCTCGAGCACTTTTCTGGGGAACTTGCAGCACCAGGAGCTGGCCTGACTGGTGACCCCCTCGAGATGATTGACACGCAACTTTCCAGTGCCCAGGAGGACTGGTGGTTCGCTCCCGAAACACCATGCAACAACTGCATTCTTGGTGGCTATTCGTGCAAGCAAATCAAGGAGGGAAAGTTCAAGTCGTACTGTACTTCGTGTGTTGCCCTTCGCAGCGAATGCAGCTTGGCCGAGCACTTGCCTGGCGGCCTGGCCGACCTCGACACATCCGATGCCATCCCTTCCCAAAACCCCTGGCCCATCATGGGTGACCACCCGCGCGCCGTTCAGGAAGATGACCACATGGACCTCCTGTCATCTCTGAATGCTTGGCCGGCTATGGGTGATCACCCTCGCGGCACCCTCGAGGACAACGTTCTCGCTGCTGGTCTGCCCAGCTCATCGACACCAGACCTGCTGAGAGGCATGACCGCCTCAGCCGACCAGCCTGCCATGGAGGCGGCGCAGGTTAAAACGACTACCCCGGCCAAAGTAGGCGCCCGTTTCTCTCGCGAGTCTGTCCGCATTCTGAAGAACTGGCTTTCCACCCACACACGTCACCCCTACCCGAGTGACGAAGAGAAAGAGATGCTTCAGCGCCAGACTGGCCTCAACAAAACCCAGATCACCAACTGGCTTGCCAATGCCCGTCGTAGGGGCAAAACGCAAGCACCTCGCTCTACTTCACCTCACCCGCGCAGCTACAGCGGTGCCATTGACATTCCTCAGAGACGAGGAACTCCTGCGCCGGACGGCAGAGTGCGCAACATGAATCCCCTAGAGCGTTGGGTTGACTCCCCACCGGAAAACGAACCCGCTACTGTATCTGCCATTGCTATGGCCGTTGCATCGAGTTCCAGGACCTCATCATCAGGTATGATTATTGCTGTCTGAGGCACTACCGTGCATCATTAAGCTAACCTCCTTCCAGGTCTTACGAGCCCTTATAGCTTCAACTTCACCGACGATGGATCAGGCAAATCTCTCTGCAATGCTTCCTCGGCCAGCTCTCTCGGAACCTCCCACGGAACTTCCCACTCTAGCGGTGGCTCGTTCGCGTCTGCCTACTCCCATGCCTCCCGTGGCTCCTTCGGATCATTCGGGTCCTTCAACCGCGGCCGTAGGCGACGCAGGAGGCGAGTCGGCACCAAGGTTGAAGAGAAGACCGCCCTCGCTGCTCCTCCCAAGACCTTCCAGTGTACATTCTGTACCGAAAGTTTCAGGACCAAGCACGACTGGCAACGGCACGAGAAATCCCTCCATCTCTCCCTCGAGAGGTGGGTGTGTGCTCCTGACGGGCCTATTGGACTCAACCCGGCGACAAATCAGCTCGCCTGTGTGTTCTGCGGCGAGGCCAACCCCGACAACGCCCACGTTGAGAGCCACAATCACTCTGCGTGTCAGGAACGGCTACTCCAAGAGAGGTGCTTCTACCGGAAGGATCACTTGAACCAACACTTGCGCCTCGTCCACGACTGCAAGTTTGTCGACTGGTCCATGAAGGCCTGGAAGGTCGCCACACCAGAGATTCGGTCACGATGCGGTTTCTGTGGTGTGGTTTTGGACAGCTGGGGTTCGCGAGTGGAGCATATTGCCAACCATTACCGTAGTGACGGAAATACGATGGCGGATTGGAAGGGTGACTGGGGTTTTGAAGCACCGGTGCTCGAGATGGTCGAGAACTCGATCCCGCCATGTATGCACCGACCCCTAAGCTATCCCGTAGACAAGCTCCCAAAGTCTAACTTGTGGTAATACAGATCTCATTGACAATGAGCGCAACTCGCCCTATCCGTACAAAGCCAGTGGCGCCCCAGCCGAGACCCCTCGCAACGCGTACGAGCTGATCAAAATCGAGCTGGCATACTTTATGCAGAACCACTACGATAAGCACCAGACCCTACCGGACGATCGCCAGATGCAGCTGGAAGCCTGTCGTATCATTTTCGCCTCTGAAATATTGTCGATCCGAGAGATCTCATCCGAATTCTCCTGGCTGCGTGATCTGATCATGTCAGATGAGGAAGTCAAACTATCAGCCAAATACGGTCCTATACGTCAAGCGGCTGAGAACAGACTGTCTTCCCTGAAACTAGCCTCCAAAGATACCATTTTCCAGACTTGTCCTTTGGAAAACCAGCTTCACGAGTTCGTCAGAGCGAAGAGGCTACTGGGCCTCACCGCTATGGATGATGAGCTGCAGCAAACGGCGGCAGAGATTGTTGGACGTGTCGAGGAGGTTTCAATCAGTCCTTCGGATCACATTGCCAGCTGGCTCGTAAGGTGTATCTTCTCCTCGACCAACTGGCTCGCCAACTTCCGGCAGCGAGCCCACCTGCCCAGAACCGAGGACATTGTGGTTGTCAATGAGCGATCGACCGACACCACCAAGATCGACTCGACTATCCACAACTACAGCAGACTGGAGCACTCCCTGGCCGACTTCATGGACAAGCAGAGGGCTTTGGGGGTCGAGCCCGACGATGCAGCCCTACAGCGAGAGGCCAGGATGGTCATTTACGAATTCGACGACGGCTGGAACCAGACCGCCGCCGACAACTTGGAGTGGCTCGCGGCCTTCAGACAACGCCACCAGCCGGCTTCTGCTTCGGGATCGACTCTGACCACCTCACCCGAGTCCCAGAGTCAGCAATCGCTGCAACATTCTGGCTCCGATATTTCGCCTGTCAGCTTCCAGGCCACCAACACGTTGAACAACATCCCTTCCTTCTTGACTGCCGACACGGCCGCGGCTTACCTGCCACCCGATCAGGCTGCCCTACCTCGCGGCGTCAAGACCGGCCCCTTCTTCTTGAACGACGCCAACTGCTACCGCCGTCTGGCGCGTACGCTGAAGAAGTACACCGTGGCGGCCATGTCGGCCGACAACCCTCACAGACACACGCCGTCAGATGCTGAACTGCAGCTCCAAGCACGCCTCATTCTCTACGATGAGTAAGTCCGTTCCGAGAACACATAAACGCAAAAGTACCGTGCTAATCACACCCCAACAGCGACGACCCATGGAACCAAACCGCAGCCGACAACGCAGAATGGCTCCGCCGCTTCAAGCGAGACGCCGGCATCATCGAAGAGCCCGGCCCGGGTCTCCCGCCCGGCGACGCATGGTCGCTCGAGCAAGGCGGCACGGGTTTCGCGCCCCCTTACGCCTTCCCCAAGGGCGACATGGCGCCCTTTAGCGAGAAGACGACCGAGGTGCCGATCCGCAACGTCAAGTTCTTCCAGACGGACTCGAGCATCACCAACAAGTACCTCGAGACGTTCAAGACGCGGTACCCGAAACCGGCCACCATCTTTTGCGCGCGCGAACTCGAGGACGGGCTGGTGAAATTCGTCGAGTCGGAGATTAGTCTGACGGGGTCGTTCCCCGATGACGAGGCGATCCGGGCCAAGGCGAGGGTGATTTTGGGGTCAACTGAGACGGCGGCGGACGATGCTGTTTTGTTGGGCAAGTTTAAGGGGTGGATGATGACGAGGGGTCAGATTCCGGGGCAGCAGTCGCAGGCGCCGGTGCTCATTCGTCCGCAGCCTAGACCGCTGCCCACGCCGGCATCCATGCCGGCGTCCGCATCGGCGTCGACGTCGACTTCCGCCCCGACGGTGTCGCCCGCCCCCGCCGTATCCTCAGGCATGGACCTGACGCTCTCGGACGCGGAGATGAATGACATCCTGCAGGACATGAACTTTGACCTGAGCGCGGCTGACTTGGAGGGTCTTGACATGGCCATGGGAATGGACTTCACGAGCGGCGCAGGGCCTGCATGTTAGTCATTCGGGTGATGGGACGCAGCTACCGCGTTTCCCAGACATGACATTGATGAACCGATGGAGACAAGCGTCCAGTGTTGTTCACTTTCGAAATGACGGCTTATAATATGGAAAGAAAAGCACGTGTAGAAAGCCTGGCGTCAGGGTTTGACCAAAACAGAAAAGTAAACGTAACGGAATCTTGGAAATGGGATGGCGGGAGTTTGGTTGCTATTGTTGGATTTTGAACTTGTATACCCAATCAAAAAATCTCATCACAGATAGTAAAGTCTTTCGGTCATTTGATTTTCCCGTGTGCTTTTTGTCGTCGCTCTCGCCTCTAGCCAGAAAGTGTGATATTATCTTGGGTCATCTTCGTGTCTGGTGCCCCCCTGTCTTCCTCGCAGCTCTAGCAGAGACGAAGGCAACGAGAGGGAAAGCCCGGGTCGCGAGATATGCTTGTACTACTTTACAAAACCATCATGTTCAAGTAGAGGTAGGCATAGAGCGTACGATGGTGTCTGTTTCTCCTTAGTATAAAAGTGGCTTGGTGTAGGTTGGTAAGACCATGGACGACGCTAGTATCACACTGTGCCCGAAACTGTACTGGTCTCACCATTCAGCAATAATTGTTAAGGCACAGGTGGGATATACACCAACGAGTCTACCCG